ATAATTTCTGATTTTATAAGAGTTAATATTATTCAAAATTTCGACACTTTGTGTGACGTGCTACTTTATTGCCTACATTCGGATTTTTTTCGAGTTTTTTCCAGAGTTAGGTATTTGCCCCGTGATTCCGGAAAAGTTTTTTTTTCTTTGTGGACGGTTCCGGATTCCCCGGATATTTGCTTACACTCTAACCTTTCCAAAATTCTAAGATATGCGATATTTTCTCTCCTGGATCTAGGGATATGGGCCTTTGAGCCTATTGGTTCAATACATCGAACTATTTTTTTTAATTTAATGTTTTTTAGGTAGCCAGCCTTTTAGCGGGGCTTAAGATTTTCTCTTGTAGGTGTGCCCAACACCGGCTACGCGAACCATCGTTTTTCTAAATTTTATACTGTTTTAGGTAGCTTGGCCTCGGCCGGGGCTTGAGTTTTCTTCTCTGGGTACGTTCAACATCGGCTATCCAAATTAAAGTTTCTCTAAATTTGATGCTATTTTACGTAGACGGCCTTTGGCCGGGGCCTGGGTATGTCAAATACCGGCTGTGCGAATTAAAGTTTTTCTAAATTTGATACTTCTTATAAGTAGCCGGCTTTCGGTCGGGGCATGAGATTTTTTCCTCTGAATGTGTCCAACACCGGCTACGCAAAGTAATATTTGTTATACTGAAAACAACTTTTAACAAACACCGTGTTCAAAGACCCATATATCTGAATCCAAGAAAGATAATAACAAATAATCTTTTTCGATTGTTAGGGGATTTTTTTTTAAAAATTATGCCTTTTTTATGGATATCGGTTCAATGGATCAGGGTCTAACGCTGGTCTTGGACTCGTACTTTCGGGTCAAACATCAGGATATCCAGCTCCGTCCCCCAAAAAATTTACTTTCCCAGAAATTAAAGGCACCAATACCCACCTTAAAAAAATGAAAAATATCCTAGTGTTTTTACTAAGTTAGAGTTAGACCATAGTCACATCAACGAAATCTGTCCTTTAAATTGATGCTGATTTCGAAGCAGTCGGAGAATTTGGCTTTGTCTAATGATTATGGTCATATTCGAACGGTCGTGAGAGATTCATGCATTTCAATGCAAAGGGTTTCTGATTTACGGAAATCACACTGTATAGTATGATGTGAAGTGTATACCATGGCCGGCATCTCTGCTACTGTAGATTTTTCTTTTTTATACCCTCCACCATACTATGGAGGGTATATTAATTTTGTCATTCCGTTTGTAACTCCTCGAAATACTCATGTCAGACCCAACAAAGTATATATATTCTTGATCAGCGTAAAATTCTAAGACGATTTAGCCATGTCCGTCTGTCTGTCTGTTGTAATCACGCTATCTTTCGAACAAATTGAGATAGAAGGCTAAAATTTTGCACACATGTATACTTTGCCAGTAGGCAGGTTAAGTTCGTAAATGGGCCATGTAGGTCCAAGTTCTCATATAGCCCCCATATAATTGTACCTCCCGATATTCGGTATTTTGATGATTTTACCGACATTATTTACCGGAATTGTTTCAAATTTGGCATTTGAAGTTCGTAATAGATACTAAAACCTAAGACAGAAAATTATCTGTGCAGGTCCACGCCTTCGTGTAGCCCCCATATAACGGTACCCCCCGATATTCGGTATTTTGATGATTTTAGCGACATTGTTTACCGGAATCGTTTCAAATTTGGTATTTGATGTTCGTAACGGATATTACATCCTAAGTCAAAAAATGAGCCATGTAGGTCCACGTCTTCATATAGCCCGCATATAACAATACCCCACGATATTCGGTATTTTGATGATTTTAGCGACATTATTAGACGGAATCGTTCCAAATTTGGTATTTGAAGTTCGTAATAGATACTGCAGCATAAAACAGAAAATGGACCATGTAGGTCCACGTCTTCGTATAGCCCCCATATACCGTACCCCCCGATATTCGGTATTTTGATGATTTTAGCGACATTATTTACCGGGATTGTTTCAAATTTCTCATGTGAAGTTCGTATTGGATACTTCAGCCCATGCCAGAAAATTGTCTGTGCAGGTCCACGTCTTCGTATAGCCCCCATATAACGGTACCCCACATATTCGGTATTTTGATGATTTTAGCTACATTATAAACTGATTTTTCTTCAAGTTTCGCATTTAAATATTGTAATAACTTATGACAAAAGTTGCCTATGCAGGTCCACGTCGACGTATAAGCATTCGGTATTTTTAAAATTTTAGCAGAATTTTTAACGGATTTTATTTATTTATTTTTTTTTTTGGGAATTGCCAAATTTGTACCAAATGGTGGAGGGTATTAAAAGTTCGGCGCGGCCGAACTTACTACTTTTTTACTTGTTTTTTGATATTTTAAATTTTTTTGTGGAAGAGCGGACATGAAAGTTTTGATAATATAGTATATTCATTTTTAAATATTCTACCTCGATGTCTTCCACCTATAAAACTTACCTATTATTTCGCATTTTGTCAAAATCTATCCCAATGTGACACTTTTAGTTTCAGGCTTATTAATAGTAACAGTAGTCACTCAGTCAGTCATCACAGTTCAAGCATTGCAATAAAGGCACGTGAGCAAAGCATCTGTCATCGCGTTTGTTATTTTTCATTTTGGGAAACAAAACCCGAGTTAATCGCTTCAAGTGCAGCAAATACATGCTCCCCATTGAGATATCCGACTCACCAATACGTACACAAATCCCCACCTTGGTTACTGATGAGAACTATCATCAATAGAGTATTCCAGCTAAGCTAATTTTCGGGGAAACAACCACAAGTAAAGGTGTTGGTTGGTTGGGTGGAGAATCGTTGGAATTTTATTTTGTAGATTTTTCTGTTGCGATTTTTGGGTGGGGAGGTGTGTGCTGCAAATAATTCGTATTGCTCCCTTCATCTATTGAACATTAAAGATCATTGAAGCGAGCGTTGGAAAGATGACTACAGCGGGTGTTCAAACGAACCGTAGAGTATCATCATCAGCGTCGTTCACCGCAAACGCTGACGAGATCGCAGCCGTTAACTTGAATCGTGCATTTCAATTTACAAAAAACAAAATAACAATTCAAACAAAAACAAAAAATATGTAAATGACAATATCGCAAATTTTTCGTTTTGTTGTAGATCTCTGTCTGACTCGAGGGGTTGTTGTAGACATTCATCAATTAGTTGAAGTTTAACTTTGGCTAGGTGCGTTTGGAAAAACTCGCTGAAAAACACGATATTAAATAAGCAAAATAAGACAACGGAAAACGGTTACGAAAACAATAAAAAGAACAAAAATGGCGGGAAGTTGAAAACTGCTGTTGTTAAAATTTTAAAATGAAAATACAATTATAAAAAGTTCCACAAAAGAATACCAAAATTTAAAGATAATCAATAACAAAATATTAAATAAATTATATAATATAAATTTATTTTTAACTGCCACAATAATATGAAAATGTAAATGGAAACATTTTTCATAAATTTTACAAAACATAAAATAATTTAAATTTAAAAAAAATAAAAAGTTAAAACTTTATATAATAAAAAATAAAATTTTAATAATTCATTAATATTATAAAATCTGAATCCTTATATCAAAGAAATAGTGAGTGCATTAACGTTAATAAAGAGTGTTTTACAAATGAATATCTAAAATTGCAACACCTCGAAATATTCACCGAAGACACTAATAAGAAGTATATATTTATATATTAAGCCATGTCCGTTTGTTTAATTATAGCCTCCATATAAGAGTACCTTCTGATTTAAGATGTTCCGCAGGTTTCTGTCGCAATTTCCAACAATGTCAGCTATAACTTCAAATATCTGGTTCTCTGTGGGTAGATTTACTTTCTTAAGTACTTTTAAATGTAGGTTAACTTTTTGGTTTACCCCTAATTTTCGGAACAAATTTCGAACCAACTGGATTATATTGATGTTGATATAGCGCAACACATCTCGAAGTTACAGGGTGAGACAAAAAAACTGCAACAAAGTCAAAAGCCAAAATTTTTACATTTTTTAAGTTTTATTGAATAAAAGCAAAAAATATCGGAAATAGCATCAAATTTTAGAATAAATACATTTGTTCGAATTTGTGTACCTTTGGCACGAATAATGGCCTTCAAACAAGCAATGAAACCATCATACGCTGCCCAAATGTTGCTCTGCGGTATTTTGGCCCATTCCCGGCGGAGCGCTTGCTTGAGGTGATCGAAACTTTGGTATTTTTTAAGGCCAACTTTGCTTTCAAAAATACTTCAGTCACAATAGTCCAACGGATTGGAGATCCGGAGATTTTGGTGGACATTGTGCGCTGGAAATGAAGCGAGGAACCTCATTTTGTTAACATTCTTGTTTGGCGCGTGCTTAGTGTGATTGTGCTGAGTCCTGTTGAAATGTCCAAGGTCTGCGCCCAAAATGCTTGCGTGCCCGTGGCTTTAATACACCCTCCAGAATATTTTCGCGATAATATTTATTAGAGCGACCATCGGTTGTTATGGCGGCACACACTATCACCATGGCCGGTGCTTGAGTTCTAGTGACCAACCACCTTCACATTTTCAGCTAATCTCTTTGGCAAGTAAACACGATCATTTTGTTTGTTTACAAACTGCTGGACAACTAATGTTTTCTCATCGGAGAAAACCAAATTCGGCAGTTCACTACTTTCGGGAAGCGAAGCAACTCTTTAGCCCTTTTGAGTCTATTTTCTTTCCTTCAATGGCTTTACCCCGAACTCAGTTTTCAATATTTGCCGAATGGAATATTGCGATATGTTCAGTTCACGGTAACAAGCGATGGTACGAGACACAAAAGATTTATTCACATTTAAATACTGGAGCGCTTTAAAGATAGCCACTTGTGCTTTTCCAACCAAATATAAAGAAATCACACTATCACGCTTGAATTCCATCACGAATAACTTTTTTCTGTAAAATTTTCACAAAAATGCTTTTGTACGCTTGTAAACAATATAATGAGCAGTCACTGGAAAAATTTTAACAGTTGTCGGACGAGAGGCTTAGAAATGACAGCAGTCTGAATTTTGTTGCAGTTTTTGTCATCTCACCCTGTATACCCTCTCTAGCCATATGGCTGAGGGTATAAAAAACGCGGATTGTATCGTGATTTCAGCTGACGGACTGTCGGACATCGTTCAATCGTCTTAGAACTTTATGCTGACCCTAAATATAGATACTTTATGGACTCTACGACGAATATTTAGAGGTGTTACAAACGGAATGACAAATATAATATACTCTGTTTACAATTCATTAATGAGTGATCCGGCACAGATAGCTCCCAAGTTTTTGCAGGGTAGTTGTTTCTGCAGAAATTCTCAATTAAATGAAGTTAAAATTCACATACAAAATTTAATTTCAATCGAATTTGGTGTACAGATATTAATTAGACATTAAAACATTATTATAGAGCTGATATCTATTGAAAATAGTTGTCTTTACATTGATTTAAACGTGGGATTGTAAAAATTAAAACAGATATGTGTTGCGTATGAGCGATAATATAATAGGTTTCAATGTAAAAATATTTGGAAAAATGTGTGTCTTAAAGTTTTTCAAAACTGAAACCAACAACAATAAAAATAATGACGTTTAACAAAGTGAAAAAATAAACATTAAAACTTCAAAAAAGGTGCCGTAAAATATGAATATTTTTTTTAACTCACACCAAAAAGCTATAAACCAAAAACAAACCGAAACATCATTAGTGTAGCTTCAACAACAACAACAAACCATAAATACTTAGCTTTAATAGAGTGTCAACGCAAAAATAAACCCTGGACTTGCACAATGACCCTACAGTTGTCGCCGCAACGTAACATCATTAAGCCGTTCTCGCATTCTTTGAAAGCGTTAGCAAATATTCACCCAGCCATAATAATTTTATTAACAATAGCAACAACAATACAATGGAAATGTTTAAACTGCAGTAAGTATTCAATTATAGAGTTGGTAACATCACCGGTAATCATATCTAGTGTCTGAGTGTATGTGTGTGTGTGAATGTGTTTTAGTATCAATGACTGAGCGTATCTATATCTATAAAAGAGGAAAATGTTTGTATGTTTGTTTGTTTGTTTGTAATTTATGAACTCGAAAACCGCTGAATAGATTTTCCTGAAAATTTCCATATATACTGCAACATCGCCTGAAAGTAACATAGGCTATATACATTTTTGAATTTCCACTTGGAACTGGAGATATAGCATCAGAATCGGAGGTACCTCCCAAAAATTTAGATTTTATATGCACATATCTATTGATTGGTTGAAGATACAGTCTCCAAATTTGGAATACGTAACGGAATTTGGAACAAAAATAAGTTTGCCAAATTATATTGTAATCGGTCCAGATTTGGATATAGCTCCCATATATATTTTCGACCGATTTCGTTCATTTGATGCCTCAAACACAATATGAATGTTCGATTCCAATGAAATTTGGAAGCTGTGACGGGATTTAATCCGAAAATTAATTTCCCAAATTATATTGAAATCGGTTCAGATTTGGATATAGCTCCCATATACATTTTCGGCCGATTTCATGTATTTGGTGGACCAAACACGACATGTGTTTCCAATTGTAATGAAATTTAAAATAAGTAACGGAATTGGGAGCCAAAATGAATTTGTCAAATTAAATTGAAATCGGTTCAGATTTGGATATAGCTCCCATATATATTTTCGACTGATTTCATGTATTTGATGTACCAAACACGCTATGTATCTCTAATTTCAAGGAAATTTGGAATGTGTAGCGGAAATTAAAACAAATATACATTTGTCAAATTATATTAAAATCGGTTCAGATTTGGATATAGCTCTCATATATATTTTCGACCGATTTCATGTATTTTATGCACCATACACGATATGTATGTTCGATTCCAAAGAAATTTGGAATATGTAACGGGATTTTGATTAGAAAATAAATTAGTCAAATTATATTAAAATCGGTTCAGATTTGGATATAGCTCCCATATATATTTTCCGCCGATTTCACATATTTGATGCACAAAACACGATACGTATTTCCGATTCCAACGAAATTCGGCATGAGTGGCTAAATTTGGTACAAAAATAAATTTGACAAATTATATTCAAATACGCTCAGATGTGATTGTAGCTCCCATTTATATACTCAGCCGATTTCACATATTTGATACACCCAAAGCGAGAGAGACAAAATCTGGCACCAGAAAAAATTTTCAAATTATATTGAAATCAGTTGAGGCCGATTTCATACATATTATGCACCAAACACGATATATATGACCGATTCCAATGAAATTCAGAATGTGTGGCGGAATTTGGTTATAATAATAAATGTGATAAATTAATTGGAAATTAGTTAAGATTTGGATATAGCTCCCATATATATATTCTCGGCCGATTTCACATATTTGACGCACCAATTTCAATGAATTATGAAAGGTGTGGCGGGGTGTTGGTGTAAAAGTAATTTTTTTAAAATTATATTTAAATCGGATCAGATTGGGATATGATTTTAATAAGAACCATTGACCCACAACGCCTTAGGCTAAAACAAAAAACAACACAACAATTTATTTGAAATACGCTTATTACGGCGAAGTATGTTGCTATCTCGAATTCACTAATTGCAATAGAAATGCCACTCTACTTAAAAAAATTGCAGTTTCCTGCACGCTTGGTATTTGCTATGAAATAAATAAATCCATAGGACAAACCCTTCGTGTATGCATGTCATGTTACTGCTTTTGTAATGATTTTGTTTATTAACGCATTAAATTAGCGCTATATTTTTTTTTTTTTTTAATTTTTAAATTTGTTTTTCTTTATCCAACATATATTCGTAAATAAAATTTTGAATGCATATAAAATCAAAAGGGGTAGCGAAGCGCACCGGGTTCAGCTAGTTTTTTATATTTTTCGTTCTATTGTTTGTATTTAATAAACAATATAACTATGTAATCATTAATTAGCCGAAAGTGAAGAATAGTATTCAAAAAAAATTAAACAAATGATTTATAGAAGTTGTGTAAACATGTAATTACTTAAAAGAATTTCGATGGCTCACACAAATGAACTAACGTTAGACTTTCCAATTGGACAAAGGGAATTACAGCACTGGCAACCAATTATTACATTAAATAATTAACGATAATCCAATAATTTGTTGCAATTTGTGCAAATCTATCGACTGGGTGTTGTTTGATAACCCAAAAGTCCAGCAAATGAACAATTATCATATTTAAGTTACTAAGAGTTTGAAAATTTGTACTGAGAATAGGACCTTCTGGACATTCTGAAATTAAATTTTCCACAAATCATTTGTTTGGTCCAAGGATAAGCCCTATTGGAATTGTTAATAATCGGTTAAAATTTAAATATATCTCTCATATAAATCTTTATCCGATTTCACGTTTATTGTCCACCAAAGAATTGAATTGCCCGAATTCAGACCAGAAGCTAATGTATTAAATCTGGTGATAATCGGTTCAGATAAAAGGGTGTCCCAACTAGAACGCCATTTTCAAAAATTAAATAAAACAAAGATATTAAACAACAAGTAAAAAAAGTTCGGCCGGGCCGAACTTTCACTACCTTCCACTTTAGGGTAAAGGAAACATTTTTCTATAAAAGTATCCGAACTCAAGCGTGTTTCAGTTTAGACTTCATATGCCGTTTGGATAATGCAGTTAAATTTACCAAAAAAAAAAAAAAACATAAGTAAGTGAATGGGCCCATACCAAAATCGGGAACCTCTATTGACAATTTTATATTTCAAGGAATGTCATCTATCAAACCTTCTAAAATACCAAATATTAATTGTTTCATATTTGATGGACAAATGTGACTAGGATTATCAAAATACCGAATATCGGTGGGTATCGTTATATGCTCACTATAAGAAAACGTGGAACTAAATATTCAATGTTCTGTCACACAACCTAGAACCCATTACGAAGTACAAATACCAATTTGTGGACAAATCCGTGAAAAAAATGTGGCAAAAACAATTAAAATACCGAATATCGGAGGGTAGGGTTATATGGGGGGCTAACGATATAGTAGACCTATATATATAATTCTCTTCTAAGGGATAAAGTACTCACAATGAACTCCTCGTGTTTAATTTCAGACAATTCCATTGAAAAGTGTGGCTGAAAGAATCAATATACCGAATATCGGGGGGTACCGTTATATGAGGGATATACGATATCGTGGACCTATATAAACAACTCTCTTTCAGGGGGTAAAGTACTCAAAAATAAAACTTCTTGTATAGAATGAAAAATGGGGGTAACATTTTTCAACGGAACTTTCTGAAATTGTACACAAGATGTTCTTTGTGAGCAGTATACACCCTGACAGAGAATTCTCTATATAGGTTAACGATATTGTATATCCCCCATATAACGGTACCCCCGATATTCGGTATTTTGATGATTTTAGCTATATTTTCCTCTGGTATTTTCGGAAAATCCACACAAGGAGTTCATTGTGAGCACTTTAACCCCTGAAAAGTTATTGTCTTTATAGGTCCACAATATCGTGTATCCCCCGATATATCGGCACCTTCCGATATTATATATTTTAAAGATTTTAACAGAATTTTTAATGGATTTTATTTTTTGAAAATTTTCTAATTCGTTCCAAATGATGGAGGGTATACAAAGTTCGGCCCGGCCGAACTTAATGCTTTTTTACTTGTTGAAACTTCAATGGCTTTACTGTGAGCTCATTTTTCAATATTTGCCGAATGGAACACTGCGATACGTTCAGCTCACCTTGACTTATTCTGTCCACTTCCTTGACGGCAGGTTAGACTTACCAGTATCACGGTAATGAGCGATTTTACGAGACACAAAAGATTTATTCTCATGTAAATGCTGGAGTGGTCCAACGATAGCCACTTGTGGTTTTCCAGCCAAATATAAAGAAATCACACTATCACGCTTGAATTCCATTACGAATTATTTTTTTTCTGGAAAATTCTCACCAAAATGCTTTTGTACGCTTGTAAACAATATAATGAGCTGTCACTGGAATAATTTTAACAGCTGTCGGGCGAGTGGGTTAAACATGACAGCAGTCTGAAGTTGGTTGCAGTTTTTTCATCTCACCCTGTATTTGTTTTTGCCATTTTCGTGCCCCTCTCTCGTACAAACACAATTAAACTTGCTAAATATACATTTCCGTTTACTATTACTCTGTTCCTACTAGTTTGACATTTTTTTTGATATCATAAAAGGAAAATCGGCTATCGTAGTAAAATCTTTTACATTCTTGCATTTCTGGAAAATACCATGTATTACATAATGCTAGTCTTGCAAGTAAATATGTATCACCAAAATTGTATTTATTTTCTATTTTTATCTTGAATGATGTAGATGCCCTAATACTCCAGTGTCCACTGTATCAAATGCATTTGCAAAAAATTGTCGGGTTTCGACCACCTCTGGAGTATATGACGGAGCACAATTTAATCTATAAGCCTGACAACCATTACAAAGATCGCCATCGTTATGCACGTGACGGTTATCCGATCATGGATCAGCAGACACCACCTCCATTGCTAAACAATAGCGTCTTACAATTCCAAAGTACAGCGAGTTCAGAATGTTGGCGTATTTGCAGTAATGATGATGGCTGTCTGGCCTATGTCCATCTTTTGGATACCAACGAATGTTATGGCTACTCATATTTTGAAAGAAGTCAAATGTATATGGCCGTGGGAAATAATTTACCACTTGTGGCTGATGGTGAAGCTGTATTCTATGAGAAGACATGTTTGAAAGGTGGGTGTGATAACAATTAAAAAACTGAACATGCTAACAAAATACAATAAACTTTTCACATCAATTTTCAGTACCCGATACATGCAAACAACGTTTATGGACCTTGACAAAAATACCCGGAAATAGTTTAGTGTTCCAGGGAAAGAAAACAATATCAACATTGGTCACGCGACGTGAATGCGCCGAGAGATGTCTATTCGAACATGAATTCCAGTGTTTATCTGCATCGTTTGCACCCTCGCACCGTAACAACCATGAGAGGTAAACGATTTGATTTTTGGAAACTATTTTTTTTTTTTGTATTCCAATTGCTCGCTGTTTGTTTGGAAGCGCGTTCGCAGCTTTATATTGAAATTAGAATTTTGATTGCATTATAATTAAGCCTTTTTCGGTTTGTCAAATGTCCAATTTAGAAAATTTCGGAGAACATTTTTGTTTACCATGATGTCACTTTTGTTTATACCAGGCAACTGAGTAGCTCTCCCAGAAACACTTAACTCATTTTTAGTGGGAAAGAGGGCAGTTTGCAATGAAGTCATATTAGCATGTTAGACAATTTCAAATTTTGCGCTTCAGTTGTTGAAATGACTTCTGATTAAAATCTAGACTTGAAACATTTGAGAGGAAATATCAGGTACAGCAAAACAATGAGATAGCCTAACTCAAATAAGTTTGAAATTTACCAATATTGGATAGCAATTATGTAAAGATAACAGAACAAACAAGTAAAAAACAGCTGAGTTTAAACGGCCCGAACTTTTACTACCCTCCACTTAATCCGTTTAAATGCTGCTAAAATTATTAAAATTCCGAATATGAGGCGTGGACAGCCAATTACCTACCAGAAAAAGTAGGCAGAGGTATAATTCTGTTGAAAATGTTAAGTATCAGTCGATTTTGCCGACAGATGTATGCCCTCAGTAATATTTAGATGTGCAAAATTTAAAAAAAAAATCATTTTTTTGGAATCATAGTTTTAAACTTTTGTGAGAGAGACACGAGAAGGAGTGAGCTAATAGATTCCATATTTACATCGGATTATTGTTTGAGAAAAATTTGTAGATATGCCAAGTTTGAAAAAAAAAGAGATATAAGTATTACAAATTGTGAACTTTTGTGTGAGAGGTATCAGAGGGGGTAGACCGATATCTATCATTTCCACTCCAGAACTTGTGTTAGATGTGATATGTGAAATTCCTTCACACCAGATCTTTTGTTTATGAAAATATTGGAATAAGTGAAATTTTAAGACAATCGGACTCTTATTTCTCATTTTATAAGAGTTATAATTATTCCAAACTAGCTGGCCCGGTCCGCGTTGCCGGCCCGTAGTTTTTGTCTATTATGCATATTTGTCAAAGCATAATTATTCACAGATATGAATGATATAGGTGTTGACGTACTGGTCGATTAAAAGTGTTTTAAAATACCTGTATCCATATTTAAACCGTGGGCTTCAAATGTGTGGATGTGCTATACAAATCTATTAAAAATTATATAGCAATCTTATCCCCATGTAAGGGATCAAATTAATTTTTAGCATGGTAAAAATCGTAGCTATATTTTCCAGTCAAATGAGCAGTAGTTTGGAAATTACTGTCTTTTGTACACCTCATAATTGAGGGCTGAATGATTTAAGAATAGCCAAAGTTAATTACATTTTAAAACCATTAGCACCTTAGATTGTACATTAGAGTCCTCATAAGTCCCCCTAACCATGTCGATCTGTTTGTCCGCCAAAAGGGGGTACTACTACATTGAGAAAAATCTAAAATTTGTAGATATGTTGAAATTTTTGTGTAAGATTTTAACCCTCCAAATACACATTTTTAGCCAAATCCTTTGAAATATGATAAAATCAGGAGGTACCTTTATATGGGCACTATTCCAAAACATCGACCTACATTGAAAACTTTCTTCTACCTCTTATAATCCAAGTGATTTAAATAAGTAAAAATAGTTTTATCCACCTCATAATTGAGGCAGAATGATTTCAGAATAGTCTAATATAATGACTATTTTACACCCATTACCGTAAGATGGGAATTATAAAAGTCTATATTTTTCATCATAGTATAATTCAATGACGATTCAACAAATATTCGGCCCCGTGCTACTTTCTTATATTTGTAATTTGTTCATGTTTTCACAATTTATTTCATATAGATGTACATCCCAAATCTACGTTCCCAACCAATATTCTCTTGAGGGGTCTCAAATTCAATAGAATACAATTTTTTTTTCTGACCACACATTAGATGTGAAATTGGACTTGGAGATACTCCATGTGGGGACTTCACTTTAATAAATTCTTATGTGGCAATTATCTGTATGATGGTTCCCTACCTCAGGGTAGCATAAATACAATTTTTTAGCCAAATCAATTGATGAATGTGGTCAAGACCAATATGGGCCCTATTCTGAAAATTTAAAATTTTATGCGAAGAGATTCTCTACCCTCTTAGTAACAAAGATGCCAAATAAGGGCCAAAAAATGAAAAAAGTGGCCAAGACCACAAAAATAGCTTAAATCATACGATGGTTATATGTATACATGAAATCGGGTTGTACCGTTATCCGTAAGTTATGATCGATATCATGACCTGCAAAAGCGATTTAAGGTATCTTGAATGTTTGGGAAGAATTTCTGGAAGGATAGAAATCCTTTTCTTACTAAAAGTCCCATTCGGTCTACTATTTTGCACCTTTTATATATTTGGTATTTTACTGATTGTACTCCCAAAGAATTTTGCATTTTGAGCTCTCATTGGACGGATTATTGTCGTATGAAAGAAGTAGGTCCACGCTTTGAAATGAGCCCCATTAGGCTTTTTCGATCATTTTTGTTTGTTTAAATGTGTTCGCATCTTCCAGCTGAACTACGATGTAGGCCCTGGAGTGGAAAGGTATATGTCAGTTAACATCCTATTTCGCACTTATTTAATTTTTTTGGTGAAGAATTCTATATAGTGTAAAATTATTCTTTAATAAATAATAATAACAAAAAATCCACTGAATTCAATATGATAATGCAAATTGAAAAAAATTGACAAAAGAAGAATAACAAATTAAAAAAAAATCTTCAACTTGTTCGCTGATTTTTTACAGCAAATGTTTAAAGATCCTTACAAAGTTTGTCAATAGAATGTATTATTATTTTAAAATTCAATTCCATTGAAATTTTTTTTCGATTTTTTCCCGATTTGAGAATTTTTGCAATGAGATCTCTTTTTCGTAATTTTTTAGCGATTTTGAAAAAATAATTTGAAATAATATTATTTCGATATTATCTATTCCCTTCCGCCACCACATAATTCGGTACTACACTTCCATGTAACCCGCCATCAATTCCAGTTCTCAAGAAATCAAGTCAATTAAATAAATTGGTATTAATATTCTAATTAAAAAATAAAATATACAAAACACTACAAATGTACATTAGAAAAAAGTAAGTCAAAATTGAAAAAATCATGGAAAATAAAACATTACTATTGTACATTTCAAAAGTCAAAATGAAAATGTTAATATATCATTTTTTTTTTTTTTTTTTTTTTGATATTATCCTTTTCGGACAGAGACAATTCCGAATTTGTATGAATCGTTAAAATCAGTCCAGCGGTTCTTAACTTATAAGCGTAGTAACTAACACAACTTTCTTTTATATATATAGATTTTTACCCTTTGTGTGGGAGTCACTTGATGGAGTAATGATGCAAATATTAGAAATTGCAAAGTTTGAATAAAATCTAATGATCCCTTCTCTTTCTATGAGGTAAAATATTTATTATTTTCTTAAAAATTCTTACCTTTTTGTGGGAGGTACCACAAGCAGTGCAACGATATTGCCCATCTCCGAGCATGATCTAAGTTTGATAATAATATTACGATATACCAAATTTGAACCTAATCAGATACTCCCTTCGAGGGTTAGAGCGGATTAAATGGAAAATCGGATGGAATTAATATATAAAAGCAATATATGTGTTGATCTCCATAAATGTCGGCCAAACTTGACAGGCTGAATTTCATTCTGGGCGGATATTACATAACCACAGGGAAATCTGAATTTCAATTGGAATCACCTTTTGGCCAAACAAAAGAACTGTGTAAAATTTCATATAAATAGGACAATAAATGTGTATTCACAAAAAAAGCATGGACAGACGGAGAAACATGCATTAACCGACTAGATTCATTTGAGGATTTGTTCAAAAAAGTGTTAAATTAAATTATGCTTGGTGACTTCGCTCAGCTCTTTGAATCAGGTTTCACAAAAAGAAACGAACCTTGTTGAGATATACCTTGAAAAATCTATATTATCTGTAAAAATTCACGATTCCAGTTCTGATAATCCACAATTAAAACAAAAAATTGCAAAAAATAAGAAGCATCATATCTTTTATAGTTTACAATATCTTACCAGTCATCAGAATATTGGTTATTTATAGATAAATTGAATTGAAATGTTATAGATTTCTTCAAGAAAAAACAGCTGCTGCAAAACATCAAAATATTTTGGGAAGATGTATATTGAGTGATAAAGACAAGATGATACAACCGGATGCATTTCGGGCAGCACCATACGATGAGGAATATATGGAAAATCAATGTTACGAACGGCCTGTGGAAAATGATCAATGTTCATATGAACTATATGCGAACAGTACCTTCCTCTATGCGGAAACGAAAATTGCTGGTCTCAATCAAAAAGAATGTCAATCTTATTGCTCGCACGAGACTCGTTTCTATTGCCAAGGTGTATCGTTCTACTTCGATGGAGATCTGGACAAATCTGAATGTCTACTTCATTCTGAGGATATAATTTCAATGGGACCACGGAGTCTAAAGCTGAGAATGAATTCCGTTTACATGAGAAGGGTTAAATGTTTGGATGGTAAGTTGGCACCTTGAAGGGGAGAGTATTTTTTTAATTTCCGTTTTCCTTTCTCGTTTCTCATTTCGCGTTTAGTGCAAGTCTTGTGTACACCTAATGAAATGTCAATACGTTACAGTCCAAAAGATTGGTTCCAGGGTAAAATGTATGTTAGCATGCATTCCAAGGAATGTATGGTCCATGGTAATGGCACTCAAAGCACTGTGCTCAAGCTCGCTATTGGCAGCGAGGCTAAAGAGAATAAATGTGGTATACTGCGTGCCTATGAAGTCACCAAAGAGTATCAAAGGTAGATAATAGAAACTAATTCGAAACTAGTGTTCATTATTATATTTCCTGCTTTAGAATTTTTATTTCAACATTGGTTGTAATACAAAATAATCCAAATGTCCAAACCCAGGGAGATCGTTTGATAAAGGTCGGATGTATTATGAGTAATACAACGCTGGCAGACAGGCGCTCTGATGATGAAGATTCAGAAGGCACCGAAATTAATCTGAATCATGGCGATGAAGATGAAACCACGGAACAGGATAAGGACGAGGACAACATGCCAAATGCCATTGCCCTGGAATCTTCATTGGAGTTTGCCCAAAGGTAAGGGGCAAAATCTAGCTATTTTGAATTGGAAAAACTTAAATTAAAAAAAATAGTTAACATAATTACTTGAAACATTTAAAATACAACTAATATACAAAATCACAATTACAGCTTTGGTAGCCATTTAAAAAAAAAAAATCTAAAACCCCACGATTATAACTCGGATAGTCTTCGAAAATATTCTTAAAGACAAAGTTTATAACTGGTATGACCCTTGAAAATATTAACAATAACAATAATAATTATTTAATTAATTAAATAATTTTAATTTAAATATACGTTCTTAGAGCACACGATCTGCGACAGTCCTTAAATATACGCATGTATAACAATGATAGTCGTTGACACGAAATTCTTAAAAAAGGACAGTCCTCCTAAATGAAAATAAGTAAAAAAGCCGTCTGTTTTGTCATAAGCCATTATAATATTCAAATGCGAAACTTGAAAAAAATCGGTAAATAATGTAGCTAAAATCATCTATAGAGGGAAGTACTTTTATATGGGGGCTATACCAAAATGTGGACCAACACAGACAATTTTCTGCCTAATGCTGCAGTATCCATTACGAACTTCAAATGCAAAATTTGAAACAATTCCGATGAATAATGTCGCAAAAATCATCAAACTACTAAATATAAGGAGGTACCGATATATGGGGGCTATAAGAAGACGTGAACCTGCACAGACAAATCTCTGTAATAGACTGTAGTATTCATTACGAACTTCAAATATTCCGGTGAATAATATTGCTAAAATCACCAAAGTACCGAATATCGGGATGTACCGTTATATGGTGGTTATAAGATGACGTGGGTCTGCACGGATAATCTCCTGACATATGCTTTAGTATCTATTAGGAACTTCAAATAACAAATTTGAAACAATTTCGGTGAATAATGTCGCTAAAATCAACACAGTACCGAATATCGGCAGGTACCGTTAAATGGGAGCTGTACGAAAATTTGTTGTCTTAGGCTATAGTATTCATTACGAACTTCAAATACCAAATTTGAAACAATTCCGATGAATAATGTCGCTAAAATCATCAAAATACCGAATATCAGAAGGTACAATTATATGGAAACTATACCAAGAAGTGGACCTGCACGGACAATCTCCTGTCATATGCTTTAGTATCTATTAGGAACTTCAAATAACAAATTTGAAACAATTTCGGTGAATAATGTCGCTAAAATCAACAAAGTACCGAATATCGGCAGGTGCCGTTATATGGGGCTGTATGAAGACGTTTACCTGCACAGACAATTTTTTGTCTCAGGCTACAGTATTCATTACGAACTTCAAATACCAAATTTGAAACAATTCCGGTGAATAATGTCGCTAAAATCATCAAAATACCGAATATCAGAAGGTACCATTATATGGAAACTATACGAAGACGTGGACCTGCACGGACAATCTCCTGTCATATGCCTTGGTATCTATTACGAACTTCAAATAACAAATTTGAAACAATTTCGGTGAATACTGTCGCAGAAATCAAAAAAGTACAGAATATCGGCAGGTACCGTTAAATTTATTTAATTTCATTTTGTTCGGAAGCTAGAGTGATTTCCACAGACAGATAGACGTACGGACATCAATAAATCGACATAGAATTTTATGCTGGGGTCTAAAATGTATATTTCGAGGTGGAGGGTATAATACATAAAAAGGATACAAAACCTTCTCTCAGTGAACATAAAACTAATTCGGAATATTATATTTTTATATATATTTTTTATTTTTCAACGGTCAAGTATTTATTTTTCTCACATTTTTAGTTTTCTTCCAAATGAAGGTTCTCTACACTTCAATGCCAGTGATTTTCATACGGACATCAATAAATCGACATAGAATTTTATGCTGGGGTCTAAAATGTATATTTCGAGGTGGAGGGTATAATACATAAAAAGGATACAAAACCTTCTCTCAGTGAACATAAAACTAATTCGGAATATTATATTTTTATATATATTTTTTATTTTTCAACGGTCAAGTATTTATTTTTCTCACATTTTTAGTTTTCTTCCAAATGAAGGTTCTCTACACTTCAATGCCAGTGATTTTCATCCAATGCCTAAAATCACACTACAAATAATTGATTTAGCCCATGACCATGAAACAAATGATGTGCAAATCGGACAAAGTTTGGAATTGCAAATTGTGGCAGAATACACCGCGCAACAGCAAAGAGAATTTGCCCACATTGGACTACCAGCATTACCAGATTTCCGGGCCACTTCATTAATTGCCAAAACAATGGATAAACAAAATTTTGTCTTGCTACTCGATGCACGTGGTTGTCCCACTGATGTAACAGTTTTTCCAGGGCTCGAACGTCAACGCTTAAATAACCGTAACATATTAATGGCAAGATTTCATGCCTTTAAATTTGCCGGTTCATCATTGGTAAATTTTGATGTCCGCATACATTTCTGTTCAAATCGTTGTCCTGATGATAATTGTCTGAGTTCAACACAAAGTGCCGGTGGCGGTTCAGCTTGGTATCCAATACAATCGGAAATGACAAAAAGTAAAAGACGAAGAAGACGGCAAATTGTTCCACCACAGAATAATTTTCAGCAATTTAAAGTTCAAAATCCAGTTTATATTTCCACGGTAATGGATGTTGTAAACTTACCAGAAAAGGATACAACTCCTACTACCAGTGAAAATGAAACCACTTCGGATTCGATACCTTTGAATTTTAACTTACATGTCCGTGGACCAGACAATACAAATACGAACAGCTTTATATATGGAGAGAGGGGTGTTTTACTAATTGCCGGTATTGGTAAGATCTTTTAAACTTTCTCTATCTATGTATTCTGAATAACATCATTGTATTTTATTATATTTCTACAGATGATCAACTCCACATGGAAAGCATTTGCATGAATCAAAGTCTACTCATTGCCCTACTCATATTCTGGCTAATATTTCAAATTGGTCTAATGTTTAGCTGTTGTTTTGTCATCCAAAAGTATAAACGTTTGGCAATGATGGATGATGAACGTCGCAAAATTCACGAAAGCTTAGAATACCTGGAAGGGCGTCGTGTACACTGGGCCGATCAGGGCGGCTATACATTGTAAATGGTAGATAAATATACGTGTGTAGAATATAGTGCTTATTATTTTGTACAACTCCATATTGATGCAATAATATATACATTAATAAATTACATGTTTTGAAAATACATATGTATACTACATTGGATCTATACACCAATATTCTAAGCTGGTGTTTTTTTAAACGAATTGTTTAATTTCTTGTTTCTTGCATTTAGGTAACGAGACAGTTATAGTCTGAGGACCACTAAAATGATTTGCATGATTATGGTCTATTAAAATTGTTAGCTATTATTTCACACTTATTTAATCCAGAGTATGATTGACGGTAGGAATGTGTTTAGTTATTTGATTTAATGCTTTAGAAATTCATCATAGTGGGTTTAAAGAAGTATCTAATTCGTGCAACGTTTTGTGCCATAATTTAATTCGGAAGAAATATAATTCGTATTGGATTCGTTTGTTCAAATGGGTCAACCTTTTAAAATTCCATCTGTAAACATGTTGTATTAAAACTTTTCTAAAAGTCGGAGTCGTTTTCTTGGGAAGGCTTTGTGTTTGTTCAGAAACGCTATTTCCAATGGAAGTTTTTATGGTATTGAAAATGTGTTTAGTTCTTTACTTTAATACTTTAGAAGTTCTCCATAGTGGGTTTAAAAAAGTATCTAATTCGGGCAACGTTTTGTGCCATAATTTAATTCCGAAGAAACATAATTCGTTTTGGATTCGTTTGTTCAAACGGTTCAATGATTTTGATCACTACTCCTCTACATCTCTTTAAATTGCATCTTTAAATATTTCTGTGTTATATTTAAACTTGTCTAAAAGCCAGAGTCGTCTTCTTGGGAAGTCTTTGTATTTGTTGAGAAACGCTATTTCCAATGAAAGTGGTTATGGTATTGGTAAATATAGTTCTATGTTGCTTTTTGTTAGCTTTATTATAATTAAACTAACATAATAATGGCTTGCCGAAATAACAACGTATGTTTTAACTTAAGTGATCAGAGCATAAATCGTTAATGTTTTTTTTTTATAAAATGGAAATTGTGTGGGTTATTTGTCAAGAAAAATCTTAGTTAGGCAGCCGGCTTCTTGGATCCGATGGTATATACATATAAAATGTTTGGGAGGAAATCTATTTGAATTTGAATCTCGTCAAACGGCATATTTTCCTACGTATTGTTCCGTTCACAATTCCAGTATGAGTGTCTGCAGTTAAAGACGTGTTCAGTGATGGAATCAACTGGTGTTGGATTCAATAAGTATATATGAACTAAACTTATTCAAAATTTCTCTGGCATTCCATATCATTATTTATAAATTTGTGTTGTCAATATAAGAATTTGCGATTAGCTTGCAATGATGTATTCAAAGTGATGACCTCAAATTGGCCAGCTTTAGACTTACATTCACTTAAGTTTGAAGTTTAGTAGTGGGTTTTTTTCAATTCTTCTAAACAAAAGTAAATAGTTGTTTGGTTAATTTTTATACCGTCCACCATAGTATGGAGGGTATATTAAGTTTGTCATTCCGTTTGTAACACCTCGAAATATACATTTTAGACCCCACAAAGTATATATATTCCCGATCAGCATAAAATTCTATGTCGATCGAGAGAGTTCGTCCGTCTGCCCATCTATCTGTCTGTGGAAATCACTCTAGATTCCGAACGAAATGTAGTAGGTTGATACAATTTTACTCAAATGTGTATTATATCTGCAGGTCTTTTGGTATTCAAAATGGGTGGTATAGCCCCCATGTAATGCTACCTCCCGATATTCATTGTTTTCATGATTCTAGAGACATTATTCACCCGAATTTTTTCAAATTTTGGTATTTGAAGTTCGTATCGGATGCTACAGCCTATGACAGAAAATTGTCTGTGCAAGTCCACGTCTTCATATATCCACCATATAACGGTACCTCCCGATATTCGGTACATTGATGATTTTAGCGATATTATTCACCGGAATTGTTTCAAATTTGGTATTTGAAGTTCGTAATGGGTACTACAGCCTATGACAGAAAATTGTCAGTTGCCAAAATACCCAAATGGTGGTGGGTATTCAAAGATCGGCCCGGCCGAACTTACAGCTTTTTTACTTGTTAGATTGATGATTTGTCAAATTAATTGTTGAAATTCCATGCGCCATTAAATTGATTTAATGCATTTTTGTTTTGTCGGGATAAACAACACATATTATCTCAGGTTACATTTCCTGGATTTCTTAGTTGACAGTTTTAATTTTTGAATAATTTTTACATCCATTTTATCCATTTTTTAATAATACATTGTAAAGCTTTTCAAACTGTTAGTGACTCCACCATAACAGGGAGGGTGTATTAAGTTTGTCTGTCCGTTTGTAACTCATAACTTTAGCCTCAAAAAGTTTATATTCATGATTAGCGTAAAATTCTAATCCTATTTAACCATGTCCGTCCGTTTGTTGTTATCACGCTATCTTCCGAAAGAATTGAGATATAGTGCTGAAATTTGATACACATGTGTTTCGAATCTGCAGATCCAAAAGGAGATAATTTGTATCAGCCAATTTTTTCATACGGCTTCCCTCATTTGGACGACTTTCGGCACATTTTTCTTTGAAAATGTCTGGAATATGGTATTTAAAACTTGTTACAGGTTCCACCAACCTCCTTATGGTACCACCCTATACCTATACCTATACCCTATACAATGGAATTGTCTGAAATTCTGTAAAATTCTAAAAGTTTCTAAAGGGTGTATGACTTACAAAAAAAATGTTGATATAAGTCCTTTTTTTTTGACTTTATATATCATGGTGGAGAGCATTAAAAGATTGGCCGATTTACTACTTTTTTACTTGCTTGTTTTAAAGATGTTTCAATGAGGACAAAAGACGTCAACACAATTCAATGAATCCCCACGACAGTGCAAGCACTATTTATTTCTGGACATTCATATATAACAATTGTTTTTTTTCTTAATAATTTTTTTAAGCGAGAGATAAAATTGAGATTTCATTCCTAACGTATAGCTGTCACAATCAGAACCCTGTTTTACAAAATGCGAATTAAAATGCATTATTTAAAAAAGCTTAAGCTACAAATCCCCCTTTCTCATTGGTTTCATTTTTCAATTTTGTTCTTTAAGAGCACTTATATATTAAAACAAATGTACATTTATAATTTGAATACAAAAAATTGTTATACTATTTACGCGGATCATAGTGCTCCCATTTGCGGTGATTCAATTTTGAAAAGTCCTTGCAATTCGTAGCTATATCTGTTAAATATTTAGATAGTTTTAGCAGTTCCTTGTCCGTGCTACGATTCAAGTGGGCTTGGCGAAAAGGTCTAATGCGTAGGCCAGAACGTGGATTCATAAGAAAATTACGTCTTATATCATCAAACATAATTGTGTTGGCAGCTGAATACTGAGGATAAAGACCCCATATAACACCCAAGGGTTTAACATCGATTACACCGCGATCCGGTGTGTGCACAGAGATCATGGCGTGCGAATCTAAATAAAACATAATTTTATAAGATGGATGATTCGAAACACCCAGAAGTTTCATTTTCTCCTCAATCCAGCGCATGCCCGTTGCCGACCAAATAACAATATCATAATGCTCATAGGCACATGTGAGAAATTCATGTAAATAGGGTCGCATCAATTCGGATCCTGACTCAGCGGAAGAACGATGGTCGAATAAAGTGTAATCTATATCCAAAACTAATAAATGCTTTCCTGGACGTGGGGGATTGAGTTCAGTAATGGTATAGTCCTTAATGCGTTTTTGAATTTTGGCCAAATAAATTGCCGAATTTTCCAAGGACTCTTCTTCGTTGTCGTTATCTTCCAAATCATCGATGATCTCACCAATATCATCGGGCTTTTGGCAGGCATCCTCAATATCAGCCTCTGTTGAACCGACCATCATCAATTTAAAATTGGGTTTAAGCTCTAAGTTCCCTAACTTTAAGCTGTCTTCCGCCGGTTTACCTACAATAAACATAATAACTCAAATTTGTCACACAACACACTTTTTCACCACATTTACCTTTATATTTCAAGTTGAGCAGCTTTTGGCGATTGGGACGCACCAAAGTTCTTTTGAATATCTCATGACGTAGCACAGCTACCGTATCCTGATCCGTTAAGTCGGTTATGGGATATTCCTTGGCACTCCACTTAACCACAATCGTAATTTCCCGAACTTCACTCATGTTTGCCAATATTTCAAATTAATTTCTATTCCTTAATTAACCATTACCATTTGCCTCGCCAAAATGATGCATTGGTATACTAAGTAGACTGATATCCGAGTATGTAGGAGATTGCCAAGTGAAATGATATCCTAGTATGAAGAACAACAACAAAATTGCAAAGTTTGTTTAGAATGTGGAAAGCAAAGAGATATGAAAGTTGAGACTGAGGAAATGGAGGATGGCGAAAAATATTTCGCATTCTACTTCTAAAGGCTACTGGCCACACATTGACTTTTAAGGGTTACAAACAAAATTCAATCAAACTTATTTTTCACCCAACCCAAGGTAAAATTAAGAAATTAAACGTATTTTCTGTAATTTAACTTGTCAAATATTACTGCATAAAAAACAGGTTCCAATCTCTGATTTGTGTATGTACAATAAATGCATAAATATACATTTGGAGAAAGAAATGTTGTTGAAAAAATTGTAATCATGTGATTGCATGACTTTACCTTCTTGATTCTACCATTGCTTAACCATTAGATTGACAGTCCCACTCACTATCAATCTTGCTGTACAGCCACGAACCCATTTGCGTATGTATCCTCAACATAGCACTGACGCGAAATTTTATAATAAAAGAAATATAACTGATAAATATCAAAAAGTAAACTAAAAAAACAATAATACAGGCAACAGAAAGTGGGGATGTACAACAAACTTTCAAACAACAAATTTTTAATAAATTATTTAAATTTCAAAAATGTACATTGTATATACATCTTTGTTATATACATGGTATAATGAAATCAAGGAAACCTCATTTCAAATTAGCAATCCCAGCTCTGAATTTTCTGTAATTTACCTTGTCAATTTTCAATGCATAAAAAACAGTGTCCATCTCTGATTTTATGTGTATAGAATGGATGCATTAATATAGATTTTGAAAATGAAATGTTGTCAAATGTATAAATTTGAAAAAATTGTAAACATATGAATACACGACTTTACCTTATTGGTTCTACCATGGTAATATACATCCCTTTTAAACTAAAAACAAACTGAATCATATACATAAGGTATTCTACATTTAACAATTTTAGGAAATATGTTTGGTAGAAAAATACAGGTGACAGTAAGTGTTGTTGTAAAACAATCGTAACAACAACAACATACAAAAACAAAATAATTAATTTTCAATAAATTATTTTAATTTAAATAATTTAAAAAATATAAATTTTTGGAATTGGGATTATTAAATTGAAAATGCAGAAGAATAGTTCTTAAAATATTTAATTTTAATGCTTTCACATCATTCCCCAAAATGTATAGTTGTTAGCTGTTGGTCCTAATCTCTCAACACTTCAAGCAATCGCTAGAAAATCGTGGAAAATGCAACATCCCTTTCAAGTTGAAACCAAACAACATACATACATAAAGTATACCCCATTTTGCAATTGTAGGAAACATGAAATATACGAACGTGGTGTCGCTGTTCCTTAACCGAAAAAAATTGATGAACCAATTTTTCAACAATTTTTACAAATTTGACTAATTTTTCATTCAAAAATTTCAAGTGCAAAATTTGTTTGACAGTTCATTGCCCAGCAGCTGTGTCGATGCGTCTACCTGTATTCTTCTATCATGAGTAGAGTTGAATCAATTGGATTTTTCTGCTACCATGGTAGAAGAATATATGAAGACGCTTCGACACAGCCGCTGTGTCGTTGTTACCTGTATTATTCTACCATGGATGTAGCTTTATTCATGGCACAATAAGGAGAACAGTAGAACAGCATCGTAAAGCTACATAATTATTCAAAATAATATGCAACAAGTTGTTTTCATTTATTTGGAATTATTCCTCATGTCATGGAAAAATTAAGAAGGTAAAGTCATTTTAAATAATAATAACTATCGCTGCATTTTCTTTAATTTACTTTGTCAAATGTCACTTAATAGAAAAAAGGTTTCCATCTCCGACTTGTGTATATACAATGGATGTATAAATATATATTTTGACAATTATGTTATGTCAAATCTATTATTTTGATAAAATTGTTAACATATGATAGCATGACCTTAACTTCTTGATTCTACCATTAGTTAAATGGTTCATTAAATTGTTAATTTGTTTTCAAAATAAACCTTTTTTGACACTGAAAACAGATTGTTGACATATATTGCAGTTGTCAGGAGAATTAAAATTATGTTGGCATCAGCTGGCCTTACTTGTCGACCTTATGATTGGGCCATGGTCTTAGTATACTAAAATGATATAGTAGAGCTACCAGCTGATTATGCAAACTCTTTGAACAAAACAACTAACAATGATTATCTTCTTCTACCCTTTAACCACTTTTGTAGTTTGACGTTTATAAAGGGTGTTTTTTTAAGCTCGATAGAACTTGAAATTGTAAAAATTAAAACAAAAATCAAATCAAATGTTTTTTTATTTGAAAGATCAATACGTGACATTAACATTTGAAAATGATTTCGGGCATATGGGCACCGTGGCTGTTCTTGACGAAGTGTATTCTGGACGTCCAGTTTTTGGCCACTTTTTCTAGCACTGCTAGTCGGATGTCACGAATAACACGAACAATGCTGGGCTCCAAGGCGTCAATTCTTGCTGGTTTATCGACATAAACCAGTGACTTCACGTAGCCCCACAGGAAATAATCGAGAGGTGTCAAATCGCACGACCTTGGAGGCCAATTGACAGGTCCACTTCTCGAAATCAACTTATCGCCAAAATTTGATTTCAATAAGTCGATGGTTGCGTTCGCCGCATGGCACGTAGCGCCATCCTGTTGAAACCACATCTCCTCCGGATCAATGTCATCCATATTTTTAAACAAAAAATCATTGATCAAGGTGCGGTAACGATCTCCATTAACCGTAACGCGAGCTTCGGCCTCATTTTGAATGAAGAAATAAGGCCCGACGATGCCACCAGCGTGCATTTTTCTGGATGTAATGGAGTCTGTAGGGTCTCTTGTGGATTGGTCTCACTCCATATGCGGCAATTTTGTTTATTAACAAACCCGTCAAAAATCAGCCAAAAATGCGCCTCATCGCTAAACACAATTTTGCGATAAAACAACGGGACGTTTGCCAACAGCTCTTGAGCCTGATTTTCAAAGCAAATTTGGATAATTTCGTAGCATTGTTCAAGCGTGAGTCTACTCATGATGATTTGTTAGAGTATACTGAAACAAATAAAAGTTTTATCAAAATTTAATTTTTTGTGTTACTTTTTACATTTTAATGTTCTATCTTACTTAAAAAACACCCTTTACATCAACGCGTATTAAAAGTAACGGTACTTTTAATACAGCAATAATTCCAAAGTCTATGTAATTCTTGGCCGCGTTCCGGTGTAAATTTTGAGAGGATCCCAAAAAAGCTACAAAAACTTCCTCTTATATTTTGTAAATAGAACAATAAATAAAAAATTCCCATAAATCTATATGTATAAAAATAGTGCAACAAGTTTATAGCAACCCATCAATTGATAACGGCTGGGTCGATTCGACTTAAATTTCCATCGGTTGCTTGTTATTGCAGTGAAAGGGTTTTCGAATGAACATTATGAGAACAACCTCCAGAAAAGTCGTTGTCGAATTGTTCCAAATAGCTTTTTCAATAAAGAAACGCCATCAAAAATGTAAATAATTTTGTTACAATCTATACATAAAAGTGAGTAATGTTAGTTTCTAACATGGTAGAAGAATAGAGGTAGTCGCTTCGACACAGCTGCTGGGACAATGTTCGCAAGCGTTGATGCATCTACCTATATTCTTCTATCATGGTTTCTACCTTGGTACAATGAAAAGGTAAGGTAGAGATACCAGCTGATTACAATTTTTATCTGAGTGTGACCGGATTCTGCCAATTTTGTGTTTTGTATTTATTGGTTTGAAAAATAAAAACAAAATATATTCAAAATCAATGAATGGAAGGAACGTACATTGCGGGGTGGGTACTATAGATATTAACCAGTTTTACCATATAAAACTTATTGATTTGATTGCACAGTTTGGATAATATTTTTCGATCCACGTATCTCTTTAATTAAATAAGGGAAAATATCAAATATATAAAATCAATCTTGTTGCATACATTTTGGATAATTCTGACAGGAAGCGAACATAGCCTCAGATTGTATTTCTGTAGTTTTACGAAGTAGTTCTACCCCCTTATTGTACCATGGTTCCTACACTTATATTTCATTAGCGCTTGGACTGATTGTGACAATTCGCAGCAATTAGGAATGGTATCTTGACAGGAAAAAAAAAATTCAATGAAATATCGAATATCAAGAGGTATCATATGCTCTGTTCTAGAACTGCAAGAATGTAAATGACGGCAGGATTTTAGCGCGACTCTGCAATCCCTTTATGAAATGTCACAAAATATGCCTAGCCATGACTTCAAGCTTCTTATGTACTTACACCTTAAGGAGGTAGAACAGCTTTCCAAAACTACAGAAATACAGTCATGAGATAATTCCCGCTTTCTTTCAGAATTATTCTAAATTATATGCAACAAATTGTTTTCATTTATTTGACATGTATCCTAATTTTTAAAATGAATTAAATAGCACAAAAGATGAATGAAATACCTGGATTTTTATCCAAAAAATATGATCCAACATTTTCAATCTTTCAATTTATCAATTGCTCAATATATTTAATGCGCGTCTTGCAATGTACGTTCCTTCCAATCATTTTTATTCTTGTTGTCTTTGTATTTGTCATGGTAGAATGAAGAAGGTAAAGTCATGCAATCATATGTTATATGTACCCAGTTTTACCATGGAATTGAACAGTTTGGATCATATTTTTAAAAGAAAGGTATCATATTTAAAAGGAAATATTTAATAATTGAAAACAACTTGTTGCATATAATTTTGAATAATTCTGACAGGAAGCGGACATAGCCTCAGAGCTGCAATTATGTAGTTTTACGAAGCTTTTCTACCTTCTCATTGCACCATGGGTTATACCAAATTGTGTATAGTTATTTAAGATATTCTTACAGGAGGACCTGAGAAACAAATTAGTTAGTTAGTTAGTTACTACGCTTTTAACTCAAGAAAGGCTGGACCATGGTTCAATCATGGTACAATAAGGAGGTATAACAGCTTCGTAAAACTACAGAAATACAGCGTTGAGGCTATACCCGCTCCCTATCAGACTCATTCAAAACTATAAACAAGTTGTTTTCATTTTTCATATTTTTCCTCACTTTAAAATGGGTTAAATATCGCGAGAAATTATTGAAATGAATGAATTTTCATTCAAAAATATGATGTAAACTGTTCAATCTTTCATGGCTAAACTGGTTAATAGCTTTAATGCCGCAAGCCGCAATGTACGTGTCTTCCAATCATTGGTATTGAAAATATTTTGTTTTCATTTTTAAAAAAATTAAATACATACACAAATTTTGCAGAAGTCGGGCAAACTGTATACCTATAAAATGTCTAAGTTTCAAATTAAAGTCATGTGGCTTAGAATGTAGTCAGGACATTTTTAAACATTTAAGTGTTTATTTCTATTCAGGAATTACTACCGATTCGGTGGAATTACTACCGATTCCAAAACCGATAATTTGTTACATTGACAGCAACAGTAATTTTAGTTAAGTTTAAATAGAAAACATATACATAACTTTACAACCTATATGAGGTAGTTTTGTGTATTATTATTTTCATAAAAATATGCATTAAACACTAAAACCATGGTCCAGAAACGCTAGTGAATTATACAAAAAATATGGGAATGTTTGTAATAAAAAATATATCAATTGGGCGATTTTAAAACAATTTTACAACGTTAATAATTGGAAGATTTTATAATATGGACTAGACGTATTTGGGTAATATTTTTTTATTTTTTTTTTTTACTTATAGATTTTGAATTATGGCATCGAATCAGAAAAAACCAAAAAGATTGCCAACAATCGCGAAAATGGTGAATGCAGCTCTAATGAGTTCTGATGGAAGGAAAGGTAAATATGTAGGTTATTTTATGTATTAATTATACCCCATCAATCCCCTACAGGTATAACAATAATTGGCATTTTGAAATTCATGCATCTCACATATTCAGCAGAAACAACTCCTCTCAGAAAAAAGTTAGTTAGTAAATATATGACTGCATTAATGGATTGCCAAGCCATACATCATATAAAAGGTCGTGGTTTAGTGGGACGCTTTAAACTGGCTGACAGAAGAGAATTCGAACGAAAAATAAAAACAACAAATCAAACCCGTACTGAAACCAGAAATACAAATGAACCACTCAAGAGTTTAAGAAGGCCACAAGAGAACGTTCCCGTGGATGATCCACCACCTTTAAGTCAAGTCTATGAATTAGATCAACCCGGGACCAGCCAAGAATTAATGGCACGAAACAGAAATATTTTGTGTATAAACGATGATCAATTCGATACTCCAATGGCTCCGCGACATGCTTCGACACCAATGCCGGCAATAAACTTTCCATTAGCTCCACACCGTTTACAGACTGAAATTAAAGAGCAATCCGTATTGAATAGCATAGAAACAACCCCACGGACATCTTCTGCTGGGAAAAAAATACGTCGTCGAAAGGTATATTAGAATTTTATGTAAGTTATTAAATTTTTTTGCCGAAATATTTAATTTAGTTTGTTTTATTACGTTTATATTTTGTATTTCAGATCATTACGCAAAAATGTTTCTGGCTATTTAATATAGATGTAAAAATGTATACATTTTATTTTTTATAATTATCTATTATTTGATTTTTTTAATTTTTTTATTGTTGTAAACTTTTTCTATGTATATACAGTTATTTTTGTAAATAGCTATCTTTGTTAATTGATAAAAATGTAAATATGTATAATTTGTTTTTAATTTTCCTTGTAGTTCTTAAACTGCGAAGTATTTTATACATGTTTTTATATTTTTGTATTGTTTTTCTTATATTTTTAAATTGTTATACATACTAATATTTTTAATTGCATTTTATATTTAAATGCGTAATAAACAATTGTTACAATCTTTAAATATTGAACATGATTTTGAAAAGAAATTTTGACCATAATTCATTTTTTGAGTTTTTTGTTTATTTATTAAAAATCAATGCAAAAACTTTAAAGTTTAGATTTTAAACAAAACAACTTGTTTCATTTGTTATAATTGTAATTCAGACATTACAATAGACATCTGCGCAAACAAGCATGAGCTGATGGCTTTTGAAGGTAATGTTCCTGTTGTAATTTCCCTTATATTAATTATAAGTGTAATTGTATATAAATAAATACAATAACGATTTTCGAACCCAGGTCTCTTTGGATCCAGACAATAGTCTATGTTCTTTCATAATCTCTTCATCCGATCATATTTGAACATTAGATCTGGTACCTATTCTACAAAATATTTAATAATCACTATTCACAGAAAATGTGATATTATTCTCAGTTCTTTTCAAAGTATTAATACTAGATTTAGTGAAAAGTTTGAATTATTTAAACGTTAAAGTAAACATAAATAAGTGGTCAAATTCTGAGGATATATTTCTGTCGAAGCTCCGACTGAACTTTTTTTCTTAAAACTTGGACTTTTATTGATGGGCGATTCCTTTAGGGCTTCGAGATAAACAATTATGATACGTCCTTCAAATAAAGTAAACGTAAATAAGTGGTCAAATTCTGAGGATATATTTCTGTCGAAAATCCGACTGAACTTTTTTTCTTAAAACTTGGACTTTTATTGATTCCTTTAGGACTTCAAGGTAAACAATTGGTCTCATTCCAAAAATAATAATTTTTGGCGTGAAATAAATCAACAAATCCACTATTTGGGATCCGCAAATATGCTTTCGAAATATAGCCACAACTGACACCCGGAATTTTCTTCAAATATCCTCGATTTGGGAGCCGGTAATTATCTTTAAAATTTGAGGATTTGACGTGTTGAAGGAATCTACATTTTTAGAAACCCACGGCAAAATACATTGTTTGGAGCAGCAGCCTTTGTAAATTATCCTAATTGTGATGGTTGTTTCTTGATTTCTTTTCTTATTTCGAGTCTTCGACTTTTTGTTTGCTTTTCACAAAATTTCCGTGCAAAATATATATTTTTATACGTAAATAAAAACACAAAAATAATTCAATTCACACACAAAATTGGCAGAAGTCGGGCACACTTAGAAAAAAAATGTAATCAGCTGAGAGCTCTACCTTACCGTTTTATTGTACCGTGGTACATCGATTTCAAAATCAATGATTGGAAGACGCCAGTTTTGCTATGGAATTGAAAGATAGAACTGTTTAAATCATGATTTTGATAGAAAATCCAGGCATTTCATTCACCTTTATTGCTCTTTAACTGATTTTAAAAATGAAGAAAAATATTGAATAAATGGAAACAACAAATTAGACAGGAAGCTGTTCTACATCCTACCATTAGGAATGTAGCTAAAACCACCAAAATATCGTAGTGGACGGTATTTCACGTCCCCATGGCAGGGTATTGGTTTAAGTTTTCAACTAGCAATATTTATATATTTTTTCACCTCATAACACAGGATCGTTCGATCCTCACGAAAATTTTCATAAGGATAGGGTTAGGCTCAGAAGGTCTAGGCCTATTGTGTTTAAAGATGTTCGCATTATATTTAGGGGTTAAAATGGACCAACAACTAAAAATGTTCCTGATGTTGCAGCCGTTATAAAGGTCACAAATAGAAACCAGAGGACACGGAATCTCGCATTTACGCTTATCTGATCATGGCACATACAACCGAATTCAGCCTACAAGCAACTACTTCAAATTTGCTGAAAATCGGTAAGATATGGCTACAGATCCTATATATGCGTTTCGTAATATGCACTCTACATTGATATTTGGTACCAGATACTAGCTCCGAAATACGTCTGACAAATTTTATCAAGATATCTTCAACCGATTTCAACGTTATTGTGCACCAAATATGTAATATCAGTCCAAACTTTAGTTTTTGCACTTTAAACCAAATTTTTCCATTTCCAAACTTGGTATTCGGTATTTTGATGATTTTGGCGACATTATTAACCGGAATTGTTTCAAATTTGGTATTTAAAGTTCGAAATGGATACTACAGCCTATGACAGAAAATTATCTAGGCCCATACATCAGTACCTTCCTATATTCGGCATTTTGACGATTTTAGGTACAATACCCACAGAAATTGTTTGAGATGTCATATTTAAAGTTTGTAATGGATGCTACAGCCTATGACAGAAATTTGTCTATGCTGGTCCAGGTCTATATACGATATTTTAATGATTTTAGCTACATTATTCACCGTTTATTTCAAGTTTCTAATTTGAATATGGTTATGACAAATAATGCCTATGTAGGTCCCTGTCGTATAGACCCCAATATAACAGCTATATTCGGTATTTTTAAAACTTTAACAGAATTTAATTTTTTGAAAATTCCCAAATTCATTCCAAATTGTGGAGGGTATTCAAAGTTCGGTCGGCCAAATTTACTGTTTTTAACTTGTTCATATTGGAACTCATTTATCATTTTCAAATAATTTGAAAATGTATTTCCAACAAATTAAGCAAGACGTATTTGCATATATTTTTGTAAAATTAGAATGTGAAATTATCTGACGATTTCAAATGTTAAAAAAGGCAGAATGTTTAGATGGAATACAAATTTCGAATTTTCAAAATTGGATGTTTTATTTATTTATTTTTTTTTTTAACGAAAAAAAATGTATTTCTTATGATAACATGAGATTACCTTATATAATTTTACCATGGACCACAAGTAAAATATTCCAAAAATATCGATTATAAATAAACGTTACAATAAAATGAACTTTACCGTAGTTTTTAATGTATGAAATTACAAAATATAATTAATACAAATAACAGTTCTTACTATATAAATAAAAAAATATTACATGAAGCGATAAAAAAAAAACAAAAACAGTTCATTTTAACATTATAATAATAGAAAAATATAATTTACCGCATACACATTTAAGCAAATATTTTTCGCAAACAGAAAAATATTCCTAAAAATGTCTGCCTATATGCAATATTATAACATCTTTTATTTACCAATTTTATTTCTAAAACTAAAAGAGCAAAAATAGTTTTCAATGTTTTTTTTTAAAGAAAAAATAATTTAATTCGCATAAACAAATATTTGTTTTGCTTCTTGACATTGTAGTTACAAATGTTTTAGGCTGTGTTCCTCCATATTATTATCTTCATTACAATATTTTTTTAAGTTTAATAAGAACCATAAGAATTTCTAAAGACCGATATTTGAGACACTATTTCTTTGCATTATAAATGCAATTAATCTTATGTTTAAACTATTTCAAATTAATCCCACCATAACGTGAAGTACTAACAAATACATTTATATACAAACTTTTTCAAAATCTTGGCAAAAACGAAATTACTTTTAAAGTATATACAAAAAATAACAAACATATTTACATTTACTGCATATTAAATATTTTTGTAAGACTCCGTTTCTTTTTAGGTGGCGTTGTTGATCGTACTGGAGTGCTATACGAGTCCCTTATATCATCCCCTATATTATGATGACCATTTATTTGTGACAACGTAACAGTTGGTGGTGTGTCAAACACACTGAACCGTTTTCGAGTTGGGGGTGTTCTTTGAGGCTCTAGAGATGGCGTTCCGTCAGCCTCCATGCCTTCTGATTTTGTATCTTCTCTGACAGTAGAGTTTCTGTTTGCTTTTACTTCTTTCGAATTCTGTGTTTCGATCAGTTTTCGGAACTTCGCAATACTAACTATCCTTATTTTACCTTTTAAACCAACACCGGTCACATTAACTACATATTTTGTTTCCATTAAATGTTTTAGTCTTTGCTTAATAAGTGCGTTTCGACGGCCGCTCATGGAAATTACATACTTGCCTGTAATGTAAGATGTTATTTTTTTCAAAGAAACTCCCATTTTCGCTTGTAAATTAACTAGGGCATCATCGACCATATCCGATGTTGTGGGTAATCTTTTTTTTATAACTCTTATTTCATAGGAGTGCGCCACAGATGTCTCGGCTTTATCGCCTACAAAGATAAAGGCTTTAAACAATATAAAATAGTCTTATAATATAAACTCACTTGGCATTTTTTTGCATTCTTTTTTCAGTAACTCCTTGCTGTGGAAGCGATAATCTGAAATATGTTCATTGATGATTATTGTCAAAAATATAACGGCTCTTTTTGTTTATTTACATTTTTAATCAGAGGGTTGCCAGTATTTATGATTGGCAGGCACTGCTTCGATATTGTTCATTCGGCCAAGATTTTGTTATAACATGTTTCCATTGGAAACCGAACAACGTTGTTCGCTCTCAGAATTAGGTACACGAATTAACCCGTTCATACGGCACGATTCGTAATTCATAGTAAAATAATTCCTTTTTTCAAAAATTTTGTTTGTTGATTTTAATGGGAATTTTAATAAATTACATTAAATTCTCACTAATATGAATAGAATAAATGATTGTTTTTCTCCCCAAGATTTATTATATCAATAATTTTATAATTTTCATTCACGTTTTCAACTGTTTGTGTAAATGTTGACATTTTGAATATATTTTTGTATTTTTCTATTTTTAAATTCTGCTGGAGAGACACTTGTCAAACATTTTTTCTGTCAATACAAACATTTTGAAAATATTGCCTCTTTTGTTTGCAGTTTTCTGTGAAAATTTCTACTCGTGGACAAAATGCGTACCTCGGATGAAAGAGAAAACAAAATGTACTTTCGTTTGAATGTACATACGCCATTCAACATTGTAGTTTTCATTCATAATTTTCAGTCTTCCCAAAAATTTTTAAAATTTCATTAAATTTTCCTATTTTTAATTTTTAAATGTCATAATTTATTTTTTCGATAAATGCTCTCATTTGTTAGGGATGGGACATATTTTTTCGTTGTTCTGAGAGTGATTTGATTTGAACAACGTACAAATATGAGTGTTCGCTCAGGAAATTTTGTGTGAAGAATTAAGTAGTTTTTTCATAGTTAAGGGTCAAACAACGAATAGAGAGCGAATCAAGTGCAGTGGAAACGCCACATTAATGTTTTTATTACGATAACCAATTTTTCCTTTATGATATCGAAAAAAAATTGCAAAACTAGTAGATTCTTGCAGGTAGTGGAACTGAGCAATTGATCTGTTACAGTATCAGCAAGTATGAAACATTTTACTACAATAACAGATTTTTCCCTTATGATATCGAAAAAAGTAGTAAATTCCATGGTACAATGAATACAAGGTAGGCTAACTTTGAAAAAATTGCAAGTACAGAGGTCTACCTGTTTGGCTTGTAATGTCAAAATTACTATCAAAACAATAAAAAAGCAAACAACTTGTTGCATTGATTTTGAATAAATAATTTAAAACCGCGAAAACTGAACAAAAGGTCAAAATTTCTTTTCAAAGTCATGTTCTATATATCTCTTATGGTTTATTTCGCGACAAAAACTGTAGATTTTGTCGATGCATACGTCGTAATAAGCATTTTGAAAACACCCGAATTTCAATATTTTCTGAAAATATTTTTTTATTATTGAAAAGAATACACTTACATAAACAAATGAAGTTGACATATTAAGCCAGAAAAATAAAAAAAAAATTAAATCATATGGTAGTTCTGCCCTACCTTGAATTCATTGTACCGTGGTAAATTCTTGCAGTTCTAAAACAAAGCAAGTACTGAGTATGGCTGAAAAAAAAGAAACCTTTTCATTTACCAAATCGGTACTGGCAACCCTTCGTTATATCAGAATTCATCCATGGTAGAATTCATTGTAGAACAATTCTTCTACCATGGTAGAATTATTAGAAGGTAGAAACGAGACTACAACATATACAATTCAACAACAACCACATACGAATTTGTTATTGTAAGTAGTGAAAATGTCGCTATAACAAGTGCTATAACGGTAGCCGATTTTCAATTATTGATATCGATGATAAAATTGCAAAACAAGTGGATTCTTGATTCAGGAAAAAAATTGTTTTCAGTTTATTAGTCATTTGTTTATATTTTGTTATGCGCGGCAAATTTAAATTATGGAATAGAAAAATTCTTCGTTTTAAATAAATATACTAAAATATTCATTTCAGTAAAAGTAAAATTATAAATTTCTCTATTATACGATTCACAATGTTCATGAGGTCTATTACTCAATGTATCCATTTATTTTTATAGTATTTAGATACCGGATAATTCAAATTATATACAAATGGTCCGTTCCAGAATTTCCCTTTATGATGTTGAAAAAACTTGCAAAACTAGTAGTTTCTTGCAGGTTGTGGAACAGAGCAAATATTTTTTGCAGGTGTAATAATTTGTTGACAACTTTTCACATACATTTTGTTTTGGTACATAATACAAGTGTCAGAGTTATGTGTCCAAAAATGTAAACAAAATAACTAATTTTCAATGAACTATTTTAATTTCAAAAATATACATTTTTGGAATATGGATTATTAAATTGAAAATGCAGAAGAATAGTTCTTAAAATATTTAATTTTAATGCTTTCACATCATTCCCCTAAATGTAAAGTTGTTAGCTGTTGATCCTAATCTCTCAACACTTCAAGCAATATTGAAAAAGGCAACATCCCTTTCAATTTGATACCAAACAGCATACATACATAAAGTATTCTACATTTTGCATTTTTATGAAATATGAAACATGCGAATATATTATCTAACGTGGTGTCGCTGTTCCTTAACCTCATCGCTTTTGGCGTTTTGTTAGGTACAACGGCGATTTTTTCTATTATGCAAAAAATATGTTCATATAGCCCTGCAGTAAAATTTTATATCAAAAAGGGTATACCTATTGCATATTATTTTTTTTTTTTTATTTTATTTATTTTCAATTAGTACAGAAACCTAGCCAACAGGGCCATGGACGGTTCAAAAAACTTCTATACATGACTACTCTAAAATTATTATAATATCCTTAATCCTAAAAGAATTACTTAAAATGAAACACTAAAACAAATTAACAAAAAATGAATAAAATTAACAATTGATTGATGGTTCCAAGAACTCCTATACATGACTACTCAAAACTATTCATAACATCCTTAATCTTAAAAATAACATTAAAAAAATAACAAAAAAAAAAAAAAAAAGATTAGCAAAAATCACAATTCATTGAAGATTTAGATAAATCAACTATGCAAGGAAAAAAACAAATTATCACAAGAAAACTATATATTTTAAACAATATTGAAATGAGCATATAATTTACGCCTATAACATTTTAGGGAAGAATTGAATGTCTTAAGATTAGGTGGCAGATTGTTGAAAATGCGAGCAATTCTTACATAGAAGGATTTTTCCAACAGAGGAGTCGAGCGTGGTATAACAATTTGCAGGTTCCTTACAGATCTCGAAAACTTAAAAAGGTCCAAAAGTGTAGAAGATGTCCTCAATTTAAAATGTTTGTAGAAGAACAACATTGACCTTAAATTCACAAAACACTCAAACGAACAACCAAGAAACTCTTTCACAGAAGGAGATATATGATCACGACGTTTGACACAAAAAACATATCGCATTACTCTATGAAACAATAGTTTTAACTTACGAAAAGTTAAAGTTAAAGCTACCCCCAAAAATCTCAATACAATATAAAAAGTGAGGCATTATTAATGCATGTACCAACTGAATTCTAATCTTCTTAGGGAAATGGAATTAAATCACAAAATGTCAGATCTAGTTTGATACTAGTATTACTATAGAGTCAAATCAGCTGGGACTTGCTGTTACCTGTAATAATTATACCATGACAACTTTTTCTAAATTTTTCCTTTGACAAGTCAATTTGAATTTAAATGAATTTAAATTTGGCACAAAATCAGAAGTTGCTATTTTGTTTCTTTATTTTTTTTTTTTTTTTTGAATTTAAGTTACTTATGTAATGCCATGTTTACGTTAAAACTTTTTGTAGGGTTAACCTACTTTAAAAGAATTTGTTTGAAGTTTAAGTAATGGATATGACAATTTTAATCCAAATCCAGTGGTTTAACCCATTTATATGTAAACGTACTGTAACAGAAGGCAGAACAAAACTATCCCCTGTGTGCATTTTATCCTTTGGTGTCCCTATTCTATCAAAATATGTACACAGTTTCTATGTGAGTGTATTGTTTTGAATATTAAAGAAATTTGAATAAATTATTTCAAATTCAGTTGCAACAGAAATGCAAATTACCGATATTAAAGCGTAATATACTATACGATTGTGGGATAAAACAACATCGTCCTTCTATTTTAAACTCAATTTTGTGGTTAACCCCATTCTTATTTTGTGATTTTTTCCTCCAATATTAGAATTTAATGAGAAAAAGTAAAATAAACAAAACCAACTGTTAAATGTTTAAAAGTCTATTTGACATAATAAGACACCAGTACAGAGTTGCATTTTCTTGTTTATTTAAAGTCGAACAAGCTTTCTTATTGAGCTATAGAGGTTACCTAGAATTAATTGTACCATTTGCGTACAATTTCAAGGATGAATTTTGTCAAATATATAAACAAATGTTATATATATAACATTGTGAAATTATATGTCAAATTCTTTGAGTTTATACTTTTTCATATTATGGTGAAATAAATATTAATTTCTCAAGCGGCGTATTTATCTACGCGATCGTGAGTAACCAATATAAAAACCTATAAAACTACGATGGCAACCCTTCTTTAAAATCCCAGAAACTACGTCAGCTGACACTGTCACAACAAACAAAAAAAAAAAACACGCAAAATGACCCCAAATAAGTAAACGTGGGACGGGACGTAATGTCAAATTCTTACAACATCCTTGTTTGCTCTTTGAAATCAAAACAAGGTCATGGAAACTTTAAAGAAGGACCGGTGTAAAATATATGTGTAGAGAAAAGAAATCGCAATATTCATACGGTTCGATACGCCCATAAAATGCAATAAATTTTTAAAAAGAAGGATATTGCAATAGGACTTGAAAACGAAAATATCGAAAAAGTGAAAAATCTTTTCGAATATATAAAACCATACTTCATATAGTTTCATAAAAACACTGACAATTTTACGTCGAAGTATTTCCACGCCTATAATGGCCACAAGCTGCTCCAATATTTACCAACAAATTTTGTCAGCTTCCAAGTATAATTTGCCAAATAAGATTTTAGTGTTAACCACGTTCTATCAACAATACGCCCCACCTTTTATTATAAACCGATACACAGACCGTGAACTAGACGGCAGTTCAGAATTGGTTTAAGGATTGAAATTGAATAGCTCATAGTAATACAAGAAAAAGATAAGGCATCACATAGGTCTTAAAAACTAAAGTATATTTCACACAAGGTCTCTTGCCAACATGTCTGGCCCATCAAGTGGTGGTGGTCCAACCGATGCCAGTGCTGGTGGCGGAGAAGATGACTCACTGGAATCTTCTTTGCAGGCATTTCAAAGCATGCCAAAAGATTTTAATGCAGCTTTGGAAGATTTTCGAGCCGATTGGCAAAAGGAATTGAAACAAAAGCAAGCAGGCGATGATGTAGCTAAAAGTGATGATGTAGCAGAGGAAGAAAAGGAGGCTAAAGATGTTGTAGGTCCCCTGGTCGTTCCAAAAGAAACTTCTGATCAGGATGCCTTGGCAAAAAGTTATTTTCATAAAGCTGTTGAATTGGAAAAAACGCGGCAAAGTCTATGATGCCATACCATTTTATCGGAAAGCATTGCAAATTGAGCCTAACGTTGAATTCACCTACTATGAACAACAAAAACTCAAGAACAATGCTCAGCAACAAATCAATATTAAGAATGCAGAACATAACCAGAAGTCGTTGGATAGCCAGGACGATCTGGCGGATGAAGATATAATTGATGATTTATATGAAAAATTCCAAGCTGATTTATCGCACAACCACAACGGCAAATTGATACTAAGTAGTCGCGATCCTGGAGTAATTACCACGGAAATGCATATTTCCGAATTACCACCAGAATTGCTATTGTATATAATGCGTTGGGTTGTATCCTCTCAGTTGGATATGCGTTCATTAGAACAGTGTGCTGCAGTCTGCAAAGGAATGTATTTGGTGGCCAGAGATGAAGAGCTTTGGCGTTCAGCATGTGTCAAGTGAGTTGAAAATTTTATAAATTAATTACATTTGAAAATTCCTAAATTTTCCTTTTTTAATTGGAAGCAAATCTGTTGGATTAAAAACCTCTGGGGTTATATGAAGAAACTGTGGGTATAGTAATTGGGAAATGTCTTGTATAGATTAATGTATATGCTGGCATTTTTTAAGTAGAAGAACTATCATATGTACTCTTTTAAGAGATATTTTAAAATTTTTATCCCAACATAATCTTTCTATTGATAGAAGCAATTGTTTGGAAAAAGAAAGCATCTTCTTAAACAAAAAGACCACTCACAGGCCTTCTATCGACAAAAAAAAAACTTCACACAGATCTTGCAAGATAGAATGCCTTCCTCATATTGTCAGTAGACAGAAGTAAGAGGTAAACCTTTTATATACAGAAGTCTGCACATGTAATAATACCTGAATTATTACAATGTAAAATTTTTAGCGACGAAGCTTTGTATTATCTTTATATAAATAAAAATTGAAAATGCAAATGGGGCTTATGGAAAATAAGTAGATAGTAGAACTTTCGCCAATTTCTTCTGTGTGGGAAGACCATACTTTCTGAGATAAGTGATCTTAAAATTTCCAAGAAGATTATGAAGTTGAGGTCGTGGATGAAGGTTTTTAGGTGTGGAAAAATAGGCCACTAAGTGTAGAGTTTAAACTTAAAATGTCTATTACTGGTATTAATTTAATATTTATAATGTTTTATTTTAATTTTTCAGAGTCTGGGGACCCAATGTTGGCACTCTAACTCATTCCGAAACAGATGAGGACAAAACTACACCATTAGACGGACAATGTCCAATAATACCCAAATATTCTAGTTGGCGGCAAATGTTCATTGAACGCGAACGTGTGCTGTTCAATGGCTGCTATATAAGCAAAACCACATACGTTCGAATGGGTGAAAATAGTTTCCAAGATCAATATTATCGTCCGGTGCAATTAGTGGAATATTATCGTTATATACGCTTTCTACCTGATGGTACTGTTTATATGATGACGAATGCCGATGAACCGCAACAGGGTGTGACACGTTTAAGAAATCTTCAGCAATTACGTCCGGATATTTTGAAAGGTCGCTTCCGCCTATTTGGTAGTACACTTACAATTGTCTTGGGCAAACAACAGTCCCAAACTACAAAGTTCATAACCAGTACAAACGTTGGTGGCTACAATAGGCATAGACGTGGAAGTTCGGTATACGACGATGCTGCATTAAACAGTACTAAATATTGCATTGAATTTCGTATATTGAATACATCAAGGCGAAAATTTGCCCAATTGGCATGGCTACGTTATTCTGTAGTCCAAGTACGTAATAAACATGAAACAACTTCTGAATTTGATCTAACACCATCTAAGTATCCGCCATTGTGGTTTTCACCGGTGCGCAGTTATCATTTGGTGGCAGATAATCCACTTATATAAATTGTTGAATAAGAAGGAAACGAGGAAATAAAAAATGCAACAGCTTTATGAAGAGTGATTTTGTTAAAATTAATATAGTTTTAAGCTTTAATACATTTTTTGGTCCGGCGTATATAAATTTATAACTTAACTGTCGCTATAACTATTTTTCTCTCTACGTGTATATATTTTGAAATAAAACTGAAGAATTATTAAAATGAATAATAGAAATGCCATTGTTTACTTAATAATTTGTAATGTGCTTAAAATGTGGAGTAACCGAATGGTTCAAACCCCACACCTCGATTGGTTATAAATGTTCATAGTCAGCTTATAGTGTGGCCAATAACATAATTTCTTGCACTACAGAGCGATTCCGTACACACGTAGTTAGTCCAGTATATCCCATGGTACCATTCAGTTTACTGAGCCGTAATCGGGAGAATCATTGTATGTGAGCTTACTTTCACAGAGTTGTAGAGCGATAATTCAAAATATTCCCTCAAAAAATTGTGCCATATAAGGATTTCTACAGCCTAACATTTGCAAAAGACCTGTAGCCGCGTTTTCCGACTTCTAACAGCAAGAACTATGTTCGCTTGTAGTTCCCTGCACTAGGAAGTATACCATACCGAGAATCTAAACATGACCATCAGCTTAAGTTGATTCGTATATTTATATAGAAGAATAATTGTAGGGTAGTTTTACGGTGACCCGCATGGATTTAAATTTGTTGATTTTCACCACAACCACATATTAAAAAAAGAAACATCTAATTGTACACTAAATACTTTTATTTCATTTATATTTTAATTTTTTAAAACTACATAAAGCATAATAATAATTTAAATTGAGTTAATTTTTTGTTTTTTTTTTTTTTCATATGGCTCAACATAGTATATTTTGGAAATTGAAAAGATCACATTTGCGTTCATTTGAGAAGAAATGAATAAGATTGGGAAAATGAGTATTAAATTCAAACTTACAGACTATCATTAAAAAGGGACAATCGATCAAGTAAATAATAAATTAATAAATGCCTAGATGAATGTTGATTATTCTTTTTTTACGTAGACTCGGTATATTTTAAAAGTGGACTCCGAAATTGACCAATCAATAATGCTAACCATACACATTTTAATAATATATTTCTTTCATTTTGTCTCCGTTTTATTTTAAAAATACTTTATCATTTTAATTATTTAAAATCAATCTCATCTTATAAATATGTTCAAGTTTCCGTTTGAGTGAAGCCGTTTAGTGATTTTACTTAGAGGACAGAATTTGTCTGGGTTTTTAAATATAAATATTGAAATTTGTCAAGATGATAACACAACTTTAAATACATATATATTTATGTAATTATTGTTATACATGGCTTTTGTTTATCACTTTGAAGTGATTTTTTGGAAAGGGTTATATAAGTAGTTTGTAGATAAACAATCGTTTAAAGTTTCGTTTTCTAAGTGTTTGCTTTGGTTTAATTTTTATTTTGTTTTGTATTAGCTGCTTACTTAGCCTCTCTGTATTTCTGTAGTTTTTTTTAACACTTTCAATGTGTGTTTCGAATTTAGGACTCGAAAACATTATTGAATTATTTTTCAGCTTGTACTATAATCTTTTCATAGCGCATTTTATCAGGCGTATCCCAACAACTTTTCAAACATGTAAACACTAAAACGTTTCCATATTCCAGGGGTGTGTTCTCATTGCTCTGTAGCATTCTCAATTTGGGTATTAATGTAGATAAAATTTGGACTTCACAAATTGTATCACCGTTACAATTTGGACACTTGGGTACTGGCTCTTGCAATGGGGCTATAAGTAAAGGCAAGGTGTCACGAGAATATCTGCAAAATAAATAAAAGTAGATTCTTGTTTTTATTAGGAAAAGTATGTGGCAATACAACAAAACTATAAATGAGTACAAAGTTGACCATAAACAGAGTCTATGCGAACAATTTTCTGCGTAAAAAGACTTTCAGATACTCAAAAATAGTTTAAGGATAGGGGATATGTACATTTGGTAAATCTGTTTTCTTTTGCTACGGTTATCCTTAAAACTTTAATGAACAGCATCATGTTACACCTATACATCTCATCATATCAGGATGCTACTTTTAAACGCTAATTTGACCCAAAAACAAACTATTTTGTTACCTTAAAATTTGACCCGGATTCTGCTGGATGGTACTCAAGAAATGATGGAACATTAGATCACCATGTGCCGGTAATGCTTTTTCATAGGTTTCTTGATCTTCGGGTGTACCAGCCCCAACACCACTTCCAGCTCCGCTGCCACCAGCACTTCCTGGTGACAATGCTGATTCATCCTGCTTCTTATATTCTTGATAGAGTTCACGAATATGTTCAGCCGATAGAGAGCCTCCATATGAATCATAATCCTGACCCGATGCATTCATATCTAAATCAACCGCAATAAAATAGGGCTTAATTGTAAGATCTGATAATTTTACTAAAGGTCCTAAGGCGGCCGGTGTAGGTGTATGTTTGAGTAAGGCTATTAAATCACGTTCAGGCTTTTGAGGTGTCTCGACTAGCACAACATCCGTTTCGGGTCCTTCAATTTCTGCACATATTGCAGCAGAAGCACCACTGCAGGCATAATTTCCTTCATTTTCCACAGAGGCTGCAGCAGCAATGCCATTGCCGCCACCAGCAGCGGCATCAGCACAGTTGGCGTTAGGGTCTTCGGCTACATTTTGCGCTGCCCTCACATCCATTTGATTAAAATTCATAATCAGTTCATTATCCATCGAATTGCTTTCATCTTCGTCATCATCTTCATTCGACGAGGGACGTTCATCGCCACCACTAGACATTGGTAAATTGACATTTTTTCCACTAATTATATTGCCATTTTCCTCATTGGACTCATTACATTCATCTGCCTCCGTATCCATTTGTTCTATACTTTCTCGCACAGTTGTCTGGTCATCGACGGCTCCCCAATCATCAGCTCCACTACACCAGGACAATTTTCCCGTTGCCTGTTTCGCCTCCTTTTTCTTTTTTTGTTTATTATTTTTGGGTGATGCCACAGCTTTAATAATATCACTGTGATCGGGTGTATCCAAGTGTTGAGTTCTTACACATAGCCAACTCTTAGAGTTTTGCGAACAAACCGGATTCAAGCAGGCAAATATATAAAGCGTACGATGGAATTGAGACATTTCTAGAGGCGCATACAATTGTACTATCAATGGACGTACTGTGCCACATAAAGGACATGCTGGAATCTTTATCTCACCATTTGGCCAGTCCTGTAAGAATTGAATAAAGAAAAAAAATCAAGTATTAATCGCACATTGTGATGTCGATATTAGGATATTCTCAGTCTTTTATCCCTAAAAAAAGTTTCAGCAGTCAACAGCGAAAGGTACTGGGTGAAAAATCTTTCCATGCTAAATTCTCAATTCATTTTCTATATGACGGAATGCTTAGCACAGTCATTATATATTTTTTCCACTGTTCAACTCACACCACGCCATACCAATACACCAATATATAGTAGCAAATAAAAAATACTATAGAACATACCGCACTACCACCAATTTTATTTATAGTACTATTCAACAAGGATGTATGCTTATCCGTAATCTCTTCATCATCGTAGCCTAAGTAGACTGTGCTTTTATTTTTGGCCATGTTTGGAATTTTATTTTAATTTAAAGTCACTCAACAATCAATTTTTGATTTTGCACTTGCGAACAGACAACGAAGCGGAACAAACTTTAATTGGCGGCGGCATATCAAGTGTAAAACAATCAGCGGGCGCTGTGTATGGTTGCCGCAGTGGAAAAACTCTACTAAAATTGGTATTTTTTTCGAGTTGGTAACTTGTTTTAATTTGGGTATAATTTTAAAGGCTTGAAAAATGAAATTATTGATTTTTTTCATTGAAAAATAAATTCAAAACAAATATGCGCGCATCGGATTGCTTAACGGAAATTAAGAAATTGAAGTTTGTCTTAGATTGTTTTAAAAAAGAGATTTCATTTTTGTAAAACTGATGCATATTAATTTTAAATGATTGTATTTTTTATTCAAAACAATATACACACATACACAAAAGGTGTATCTGTTTTGACAGAATAAAGTCACCAAAAGAAAAAAATATTTAGGGGGTAGCTTTGTTCTACCTTTTATAATTGTACCAAGGTACCATGGGAAGAACTAGAAAAATAAACGTTAAACATATGATTTTACAACTTTTTCAATATTACACCTTTCACTAGAACTCATTGTCAAAATCAATTCTATATAATCAAATGGGGACCGGTTTTCTATTCGGCCCAGGGCCTCAATTCTTGTTCTATGAAAATGTAAAATGAAAACTTTATTAAAGAAAATAAATTTCAAATGAAAATTTTTTTAAAGGAAATATTTTTCATTTCATATTTTCATAGAAAAAGAATCCGGCCCCTGGGACTCAATTTTTGTTCTGTGAAAACGTGAAATTAATATGAAAGAAATGTCAAATGAAAAAAATTATAAAGGAAATATTTTCCATTTCATATTTTCATAGAACAAGAATCCAGCCCTCGGAAGTTGATTTGAAATGATTTTACCTTAATTTCATTGTATATCACAAATGATTTATATGTTCCCAAACCGCAAGAATGTAAAAGTTTTTACTGTGATAACCGATTTCCCTTTTGCCTTCGCCTTCGAAGTAAAAAAATAACAGTGATGCATTTGGTTATTATTTGGATTATGCATACCCATGAAAATAATTCTGATAAAATAAACCCGCATTAAGCACATTAATCCTGACAATGAAGGATAATCCGAGTGGAATGATTGTAGGCATGGCTCAATAAGACTTCAACTTCAAAGGAACTAGAAAAAATTCAACTTTGTACTATAGTCTTATTATGTCAAATAGACTTTTAAACGTGCAACAATTGGTATTGTTTGTTTTACATTTTTCACAAAATTCTTGGGGTTATTCCACAAAATTGAGTCCAAGATAGATGGAGAATATTTTAATACTGCCATTTACATCGAACATTGGCTTTTCTGTTTCAACTGAATACGAAACAGTCATAAATTGTTGTCATTACTATTCAAAATTTTACACACACAGCCGCTGTGTCGATGCGACGCTTATATTCTTCTAGCATTGTAAATACGCTTTTACCTTGTATTCATTCTACCGAGATGTAAACATAGCAATAATATGCATAAACATTTTTCAACACTGACATTTCGATTAATCGACTGTTCTTCGAGTGGAAAGGAGATGAAAATAAAATTGTGTCTCTTCTTTAATTTCTCACGTTTTCGATCTGGAGAGACCTCGTTCTATGCGGGTGTGTGTGTTTGTGTCCGAGAAAATGAAAAATTATTTTGCTCCGTTGTTTACTCATCAAAAAAGTTTTTAATTTTGTGTTGTGGATCGAATTTTTGTGAAAATTTATCGAATAAAAGGTAGAAAAGACAATACAATATCTGGCGAATTATAATTATATGAAATATGAATGTTTCTAAACTAATTATAAACTATATAAAGAAATAATTGACACACCCAACCCCCTTTCCTATCGGATTTGTCAGTGGGTGCAAGTGAAGGAATGATTTAAATGAACATTAGGGTGGCATGACTATATGATGACATAGATTTAATAATCAATATGTGTTACAATTTTAGATCCAAAGTGAATGTGAGGGGGTGCTTCGGAAGCGAATGTAAATAATTTATGGTCCACTGTGTTTAGAATAAGCCTAAATCATGACGGAAAAAATTACTTTGGCTGATGCCTTGTCTAATGTGGAGGTTCTTGATGAACTGTCCCTGCCCGACGAACAGCCCTGCATAGAGGCCCAACCGTGTTCGGTCATATATAAGGCCAACTTTGATACTAATTTTGAAGACCGCAATGGGTTTGTGACTGGTATTGCCAAATATATTGAAGAGGCTACAACTCATGCAAATTTGGTAAGTGCTCTAATTGAAAAAAAAAAAAATGTGACAGTAGTTTAAAATGTTTCCAATTGTTTTAGAATATATTACTTGATGAAGGACAGAAGCATTCTGTTATGTTATACACATGGCGTTGCTGCTCCAGAGCCATACCTCAGCCGAAGTCAAATGAGCAGCCCAATCGCGTTGAGATATATGAAAAAACTGTCGAGGTATTGGCCCCAGAAGTGAATAAGCTATTGAATTTTATGTATTTCCAAAGAAAAGCCATTGAAGCATTTTCGGGCGAAGTCAAACGTCTTTGTCACACAGAAAAACGTAAAGACTTTGTATCCGAAGCATATCTACTGACTTTGGGTCGTTTTATCAATATGTTTGCAGTCTTGGATGAATTGAAGAACATGAAGTCTAGTGTCAAAAACGATTACAGTACATATCGAAGAGCGGCTCAATTTCTAAAAGTTATGTCAGACTCGCATACCCTGCAGGAGTCCCAAAATCTTTCCATGTTTTTGGCTACACAAAATAAGATACGTGACACAGTCAAAGACACTTTGGAGAAGATTGTTGGCTATGAAGATTTACTCTCTGATGTGGTTAATATTTGTGTGCACATGTTCGAGACGAAAATGTATTTAACACCAGAAGAAAAACATATGCTGGTAAAGGTAATGGGCTTTGGCCTATTCCTAATGGATAGTGATGCTTGTAACATCAATAAGTTGGATCAAAAGAAAAAAATTCGTCTAGATCGAATTGATCGCATATTTAAAAACTTGGAAGTTGTGCCCCTATTTGGAGATATGCAAATTGCACCATTCAATTACATAAAGAGAAGTAAGCATTATGATCCCAGTAAATGGCCATTGTCTAGCTCGAATGCTGCCAGTCCTCAGGCAGACCTCATGGTTCATTTACCACAAATACGTGAAGACCATGTAAAATATATATCGGAGTTGGCACGTTACACAAACGAAGTGACGACAACAGTAAAAGAAAATCCATCGGATGCTGAGAATAGAGCAACAGCAGATTTGGCATTGCGGGGTTTACAATTGCTATCAGAATGGACAAGTGTTGTTACAGAATTATATTCGTGGAAATTATTGCATCCTACCGATCATCATCAGAATAAAGAATGTCCTGTAGAGGCAGAAGAATACGAAAGGGCTACCCGATATAATTATACATCGGAAGAGAAATTTGCATTGATTGAAGTCATTGCCATGATTAAGGGTTTACAGGTAAGTTGTCATTAATTTTAACGAAAGGGCTTGTTTAATGTTGTTCTTTGTTTTCCAGGTCCTAATGGCCCGAATTGAAACGGTTTTGTGTGAGGCCATACGCCGTAACATTTATTCCGAATTACAAGATTTTGTTCAACTTACCCTACGTGAACCCTTACGAAAGGCAGTCAAAAATAAAAAGGATCTTATACGTAGTATAATAATGTCTGTACGTGAAACTGCCGCGGATTGGCAGAAAGGATATGAGCCAACAGATGATCCAGTCATAAAGGGCAAAAAGGATCCCGATGGTGGATTCCGTATACATGTTCCACGTTTGAATGTGGGTCCTTCGTCTACCCAACTATATATGGTACGTACCATGTTGGAATCATTGATCGCTGACAAATCCGGCGGTAAAAGAACCCTACGTAAAGATATTGATGGAAATTGCCTTATGCAAATCGATTCATTCCATAAAACATCATTCTATTGGAGCTATTTACTCAACTTTAGTGATACTTTACAAAAATGCTGTGACCTATCACAACTATGGTATCGTGAATTCTATTTAGAAATGACCATGGGTCGTAAGGTGAATAAGTGTACGGTACGTCATCAACACAATGAAGAGTGCAAGGATTTGATAACCATGGAAAAACGTATTCAATTTCCTATTGAAATGTCAATGCCATGGATATTAACCGATCATATTTTACAAACCAAGGAGCCATCAATGATGGAGTAAGTGAAAAAATACAAATGATGACAGATCACTATAAATTAATAATATAAATTTTGTTGTAGGTTTGTCTTATATCCCCTGGATTTGTACAACGATTCGGCTCATTATGCTTTAACTGTATTCCGCAAGCAATTCTTGTATGATGAGGTTGAAGCTGAGGTTAATTTGTGTTTTGATCAGTTTGTTTATAAGTTGAGTGAACAAATCTTTGCTCACTATAAACAATTGGCTGGAAGGTAATATAATTCATTTTCGTATTTATTTTAATTGATAATTTTATTGTGTTCCTTATAGTATATTCTTGGACAAACGTTTCCGTTTGGAATGTGAAGTCTTGGGATTCAACTTTCAATCATATCCTCGAAATAATCGTTATGAAACCTTACTCAAACAGAGACATGTACAATTGTTGGGTAAGTTTTGTGAGATATTTATACATTAATTCGTTTAAATAAACATACTGGAAATAAAAAAAAGAAAACTTACATAAACTTAAAATTTTATAGGACGGTCTATTGATTTGAACAAGCTTATAACACAACGTATCAATGCTAATATGCACAAGAGTATTGAATTGGCAATAAGTCGCTTTGAAGGCAATGATATTACGGGCATTGTGGTAAGTAATAGTAACAGTAATACATTATATATAAGTAACTTACATCTACCTAATTGTCCTAGGAACTGGAAGGTCTTTTGGAATGCAATCGAATTTGTCACAAATTATTAAGTAAATATCTAGCCCTAGACAATTTTGAGGCTATGGTAAAGGAGGCCAATCACAATGTCTTGGCACCATATGGTCGCATAACACTACATGTGTTTGTCGAACTAAATTATGATTTCTTGGTAAATTACTGTTATAACGCAGCCACAAATAGGTAAGCTATTAACTTGCAGAAAAAAACTAAATGTTTTAAGATTAATACATAATTATCATTTAACAGATTTGTACGCAGTAAAGTGAATTTGGCCTCAGCACAGCCCATGCAGCGTGAAAAGCCTCCACAAATGTCTCATTACTATCTTTGGGGTTCGAAACAATTGAACGCTGCTTATTCGACTCAGTATGGTCAATACACCGGCTTTGTTGGCGCTCCCCATTTCCATGCCATGTGTCGTCTGTTGGGCTATCAAGGCATTGCTGTTGTTATGGACATAATACTCAAAGATATTGTGAAACCATTGATACAGGGCTCTTTGTTACAATTTACCAAGACGCTTATGAGTGCTATGCCAAAGTCATGCAAATTGCCACGTTGCGAATATGGTTCACCGGGTGTATTGAGTTATTATCAAGCCCATTTGACTGATATTGTCCAATATCCGGATACAAAAACCGAATTATTTCAATCATTCCGTGAATTTGGTAATTGCATTATATTCTGTTTGTTGATTGAACAGGCCTTGTCACAGGAAGAGGTGTGCGATTTGTTGCATGCTGCATTGTTTCAGAATATTTTCCCAAGGCCGTTCTGCAAAGGTAGGTGTGGGAGTTATTTATTTTTTAAATAAAATTTGTAAATCGTACATACTTTTACAGAAAATGAAAAACCAGAGGCCAAACAAAAACGTCTGGAAGCCCAGTTTGCCAATCTTCAAATTGTCTCTAATGTTGAAAAGTTAGGCACAGCAAAGGTAAGATACGCTTTGTAGAATTAATTATGTTATTATATTATAAATAACGCCAACATTTGATTTTAGCAAGCAATGATTGCCCGTGAAGGTGATCTCTTGACACGTGAACGTCTCTGCTGTGGCCTTAGCATTTTCGAAGTTATTTTAAATCGCATCAAAAGTTATTTAGATGACCCGGTTTGGACAGGTCCAGCTCCAGCCAATGGCATTATTCACGTTGATGAATGTTCAGAATTTCATCGTTTATGGTCAGCTTTACAGTTTGTCTATTGTATTCCGGTACGTGGTACAGAATACACAATTGAGGAACTATTTGGAGAGGGCCTTAATTGGGCCGGTTGTGCAATGATTGTGCTATTGGGTCAACAAAGGCGTTTTGAAGCCTTAGATTTTTGCTATCATATTTTGAGAGTACAACGAGTCGATGGCAAAGACGAGGATGTGAAAGGAATTGTAAGTTCTTTTAAATTCAAAAATCCTATTTCATTTCATATAATATCTATTATAATTTTAGAAACTCAAACGCATGGTGGATCGTATACGAAGATTCCAAGTATTAAATTCACAAATATTTGCTATATTGAATAAATACCTAAAAGGTAGTGATGTGGAGGGCTCAAATGTTGAACATGTGCGTTGCTTTCCACCACCGCAGCATCCTTCTGTAATATCTTCACATTATCAAGATCCGAATAAACTACGGCAAAGTATGAATAATTAAACGCATGCATACACAATTATTTAACAAGCACAAAAATGTGCATCAACAATTAAACACAATATTTATATAAACAAACATATATATTTAATAGTTAAAACAATTAAACAATAAGCAAAAAAACAAATATTCTTCTTAGCCAGTATATTAGTATTCCTTTATATTTGTTTTCATTTATAAGCAAAAAAAAATTAAAATAACAAAAAAGAAGAAATTACCCAACATTGTCATTTGCATTTTATTAAAATTTAAGTAACAAAAACCGTTTCCTTACGAATCACCACCATCAACCACCAAGACCACTACACAAGACCTGTATGAAGAGGCCAAAGATCATATTTTGTTTATTATGCTTTCAAAAATAACGCAATTTCTATTGGTTTGTAATTACAGTCAATCAACCACATGCCTTTTTTGTCTGCTCCTTTTCTTTAATAGTATTATATTCACTCGATGTTTTTCAAACGAATGCATTTTAATGAATCACACTTACACACAATGGAATTGCATTTCTCTATTTCTGTTTTAGATATTCTTTTTATATTTACATTTTCATAGTTATTTGGTATAGCGCTATGTATACATAAATAAATATATTACAAATATACTTTATGCATATATCTATCATTCAATATATGAATATAATACGTAATGGCATAAATGTAACAAAGCAAAAGGAATCAAGTTTCTTTCAATAAAACGAAATTTTTTATAATCGTAGCCAAAAATATAATATCTAAATTGGTTTTATTTATTAGAATTAAGAAGCATAAAGGTCCCCTGCCATTGCCTTGACCATGGACGGTGTTGATTTTTTTAAATATCTACCTATATCTGTTCTTGAATGTGTGTACAACGCCGGGTATATTCAAAGAAGACATCAAGAGCTCTTTTCAATATCAAAAATAATGTGTAGCGTGGAGCAACATGGGGAAATCTTCTCTAAGGAATAAAATATCAGCATTTGGCGAACTCTTGCGGACGTCAGACCAGACCGGTAAATATTTTTTTGTTTATATTGAGTAAGTGCGAATTAAATAAGTTATCGTGAATAGCAGTAATACATGCAGATGTTTTGGTTCTGCTAATCTGGTTCGAGGTTCGAAATTCGGCTACCTTAATGGGCTGTCACCAGAGATATTCTGGAGTTAGTTGGGTAGGTTTGGCGGTGCAATTAAAGAGGTGCAGCGTATTGTGCGGTCCTGTATCACTCGTTGACGTCAGACGTCACGCACATCTTCATTAATTCGTGCTCAATATAAATTGAGACGACTGCACCATCTTGAACGTAATTGCGAAAAAAACAACCCTTGTGAGAGGGTCTCAATACGACCCAGTAGGAATACTAACTTAAGGGGAGTTCAATATATGTTTTCAATATTCAGAATAACGACTCTATTCAAACGGAGCATTGTTGATTCTAACGAATGATAACACTTCATTGAAACAAGTTAAATGGTATCAGTCGGTTTTGCCGGCATATGTTAGTTTACTACAATATATTTTGACTTACATTATGATTATTTAGAAATTTGGCCGTTTATGGAGGAGATACGGAAGGAGTCCACTTCTTATCTGAACTAACTCTGACGTTGCCATTTTGGACTATATCGACAACTTCCTTTACTTTATATGAGATATGTGTTAATTTTTGGATAATGTTGAAATGTGCAGAAGGTACCTAATATAGTGGGCTGAAGTGTTTCGATTATGGATGGACACAATTTAAAGAAACCAGGCATCTATCACAAATTTTATGGGAATAACAGTTAATCACAATTTTAACGTTTTGTGGGGAAGGTACACACCAGATCTCTGGTTGAGAGAAATATTTAAATATTTCAAGTTTAAATAGAATCGCTGACTTGTTTCCCAAGTAATGGGACATATAAGTATTTAACATTGTGACCCTTTGTGGGGGAGGTATCAGATGGCGTAGGCCGACCTATCCTATCATCTTCACATCAGATTTTGTTAATAAAATGTTGCAAACCTGTGAAATTTGAAGGAATCGATTACTTGTTTTTCATTTTATGAGAGATGTTATTATTCACAATTTATGATCCATTGTCATAATACATCTTCACATCTGATCTTGTGCCGAGTTCAAAATTAATTGGATACTTATTTCCCATTTTATGAGAGTTATACTTATTCAAAATAATGGACCTTTGTGAGGGAGATACGTGATAGTGCGTACTGATATTTTCCATTTTCACCACTGGCATAAATATCGGGATTTGCAATGTTTGCACAAAATTGGACATTTCGTCTTTGTTCAATAAGTAATTTATTTTCTATTTAAATGTTTACCTTTTGTAGGAGAGGTAACGGAAGGAGTGGTCCGATTTTGCCTATCTCCGAACTTGTTATAAATTTGATAATAATAACATAACAATGTACCAAGTTAAAGAGTTGTTGTGCGCATCAACCAGCCAGACAGACGGACGGAAACTTCTAAATTAAATCCAAAAATCCTGAAACGTCCACATAGATTTAGGCCATAGGATTGAGGGTATAACAAGAACAGCAGTTGCGCTGCTATGGGCCAATGAACTCAATTCGAGGACCTTTTCAGAAAAGATTTCTGAGCTCATCGAGGGGACATTTGTGAATGCGGATATAGGGGGGAAATCTCTGCTCTTCAACCCAAAACACCTTAGAATAAAAGGGCCAAGCGATGAATAATAAGAATGAATGCAGCAATAAATTTGCAGGCAGTACCTCCAGCGAGATATCGTGGCGAGACAGAGGCAAATGATAAAATATCTACCAAGCAGCTACTTAAGCTACACTGAGTGGTCTACTCTGGTGTCAGATGAACGCAGTTGGGTTGAGAAGAATGAGCTGGCTGTATGCAAAGCCGAAGCCCAAAGCAAGTAATGTTCTTCTGAGAGCCTTAAGTAAGAAAGACAAAGTAGGCAGATAGCTCGGGGACTACCCAACATGATATGTATTCAAATGGTGTGGCTTTTAGAAAAAAGTCCAGGTTTAAAAAACAGATTCTTTTCTTTTTAACTTCCGCATCGGTTTAAATAACCACCTTTCCGATGAGGTCCATATTAACCACATCAGTTCAATGGAACCGACTCTAACCTGGGGTTGGTACCCTGAATTAAGGACAGTTTTGTTACTGCATCCGTCTTCTAGAAAAGAATACTTCCCCAAAATCAGATTAAATACAGGGTGAGATAAAAAACTGCAACAAAGTCAAACGCCATAATTTTTACTTTTTTTAAATTTTATTGAATGAAACCAAAATATGTTGGAAATAGCATCAAATTTCAGAATAAGTTTAGATTTGTTCGAATTGGTCACCCTTCGCACGAATTATGGCCTTCAAACGGCCAATGAAACCGTCACACGCTACACGAATGTTGCTCTGCGGTATTTTGGCCCATTCCCGACAAAGCGCTTGCTTGAGGTGATCGACACTGTGGTATTTTTTAGTGCCAACCATGCATTCCAAAATACCCCAGACACAATAGTCCAACGGATTGATATCCGGAGATTTTGGTGGTCATTGTGCGATAGAAATGAAGCGAGGAACCTCATTTTGTAACCATTCTTGGGTGGCGCGTGCTGAGTGCGATGGTACTGAGTCCTGTTAGAATGTCCAAGGTCTGCGGCCAAAATGTTTGCATTCCCAAGGCTTTAACACACCCTCCAGAATAATTTCGCTATAATATTCGGCATTTATTCTGATGCCACGGTCGAATAATACGAGCGGAGACCGACCACCGGCTGTTATGGCGCCCCACACCATCACCATGACCGGCGCTTGAGTTCTTGTGGCCAACCGAAGGTTGCACATTTTCAGCTGACTTCTTTGGCAAGTAAACCCGATCATTTTGTTTGTTTACAAACTGCTGGATAACGAATGTTTTCTCATCGGAGAAACCCAAATTCGGCAGTTCACCACTTTCGGCCAAGCGAAGCAACTCTTTAGCTCTTTTGAGTCTAGTTTATTTTTTTCGGTTGCGGTGTAAATTCTTGCACTTTTTGGAATTTCAATGACTTTACCTCGAGCTCATTTTCAATATTTGCCGAATGGAATATTACGATATGTTCAGCTCACGAGCCATTTTTCGGCCACTCTAACGCGGGTTTCGATCAAGTCGCTTTTTTACTTTTCGAACCATTTATGCTGATGTTGCTGTTTTCTTCCGTCCATTTCCTTAACGTCGGGCTACGCTACCAATATCACGGTAACGAGACATAAAAGATTTATTCACATTTAAATGCTGGAGTGCTCTAACGATAGCCACTTGTGGTTTTCCAGCCAAATATAAAGAAATCACACTATCACGCTTGAATTACCTTAGAAATGACAGCAGTCTGAAGTCGGTTGCAGTTTTTTCATCTCACCCTTTATACCTACCTCTGAATACATCTTCCAAAAAATCTTAACTTTTACTTGCTTTATGGTTGCATTCTTCTTCGAAAATAACTGTTGGTGGCAGCAGTTGTTAAAAGGCCAACTAAATTTTGCTTAACCCAATAACCCACAACCTTGCGCCTTATTAAACCACCGGTATTGGGTCTATAGGCTAGGCACTGTAACCATATTCCCTTTAAAATTTGTTGGTTATCAGTTTCAAATAACTTTTCCCAATTTACCAAAGCTTCTATTACAAAACATGGTTTGTGACTGTAAATAACAACAATAAATAAAACAGGGGAATTACAATGTGTATAAAAGTGGGTACTTTATTATCTTAGTGAAGAATGAATCAGTTTTTTTGTTTCTATCAATTTTATAAATAAACTTACATACATATGTATGTACCTATAAAAAGGGAAGCATAGTATGGATTTCAAGTGGTACTTTGTAAAAATTTATACAAATGTTCAGGTAAATATAATTAATAATAGGTATGTATATATGATTTGGAAGATAAGGGATATGGAATTGATAATAATAACAATAAAATATAATATACAGCTATTTTAATACAAATATGTATATAAATATTTAGTATGTGGAATGTTTTGTCGTAACCAAATAATACTACACTTTTAAAGAACAGCCGTTTGTTCCATTGTTACCATTCATGGCACCATTGGTGTAGAGATTCTTGTAGCAATACATTACCTCAAAATTATCTGAATAATTACGTGGTAAAGGATAGCCAATACCATCTACACCCAAGTAGCATGCACCATATGCCATGCTTTTGGTTATGCGTATAAGTTTTAAACCAAATGGTATATTTTTCTTTTTCAGCGTCTCGACGAAACCATCCTTTAGCAGAGTCCAGCTTAGCCACACAGAACCAACACAGACAATATTCAAATCACCAGATTCTACCAAATCCTCATGGACATGGGGCAGAACAGCCTGTATGCTTCGTGCCAAATGACATCCAGCTTCATGAAATACAAATTTGGCCAATTCATCACCCTGCTCGGCAGCATGAGATAGCTTCTTGCATAGACTAGCATAAAATGGTTTATCGAATTTTGCATAGCAATGAGTCAAAATTTCATGACGACTCTCGACTTTGAAGTGTTCTTTGACTAACTTCCATATGTGGTCAATAGGGTAGGGAGATTTTTCAAAATTATCCATATCATCGAAAATCATTTTCACCGCTCGATGAGAGATGTACCATGCTGCAAGAAAAGGGAAATTCATTGTTTTACGATACGATTTATATTGTCCTACAAAATGGATACATCTAAGATGTACAGGATACAAAAAGTTGGTTTATGTACGCCTACGTTCAAATCTAAATCATACATAAGCACGATTATACCGCCATCCCCTACACTTATATACCATAACCCCCAAAAAATATATCAAAACATCTTTCAACGCAGATCAGTCTGGGAAGGATGCAATAGATTCAGATAGTGGGTGCTTTTTCGGAATCGTTTCGGATTAACCCGGTTACGAGACAACAGAGAAAGGAATTGTGTTGCAACATTCTCACGTCACATGTAGCTGATTGTGCTATCTTCAATGGACTCCGAATAAAGTTAGATGAGGTAATAAATTTTAGGAATCGGAAATAATGTCTATATATAGCTGGTTTATAGTTGTGAACAATGTTATGTGCATCATCACAACTGCAGCCGCCCCCTTTATACAATAAATTCGTCAAAATTCCTCAGCGGAGGCCCAGTAAATGAGCAAGATGAGCTCCGCCGTTCCAAAAAGAGGAGTTTGAATCGCTATTGAACCCAGGGAAAAAGTTTGATAGGACCTCATTCGACGATGCAATTGTGACTAATCCGAGAAGGTGGGCTGGCAACGTTAACGCACAATTTGTCGAGCACCCCGATATATAGGGAGAAACAACGGTGCTATATAGATTCCTTCCCTCCGGAGTGGAGCTACTACCTTTGACAATGGGCTATGTTGGCATGCAATATTGAAAAAGGTGGAAACGCCGGAAGTTGAGCCCATTTTAAAAGTCCTCAACCTGTCGCTAAGCACCGATATCGTTCTCGAATCATGGAAAATGGGGCGGGTAAAGCTATACTTATTCCATCAGCAACATAGCTCCATAAAATCAGTACACGTCACATCCAAATATATTATTAGAGATCTTCACCAGAACAGGTCGTGCCAGAGAACTGTATAGGTGGCCATAGAACTGTATAGGTGACTCTAGACTAATCAATAGACTTTGATGCAGTGATGCTGTCAGAAATGTTGGATAATCAAACATATCCCTGAACGCGTCGTGGAAATATTTACAAGAAGTCCAAAAACGCAAGGAAAGACAGTTTCATAAGAAACCATTTAACATTTATCTTTCCGCAAAACTTCACCCTCAAAACAGCTTTGAGATATTTATCTGTGCGAACGATTGCATGGCATGGAGTTGGTTCTGTAGTTGATGATATATGTGCTAGGTTGTAATCGGGCGCTTATTCGAAGCGAGGAATATAAAAATATTCCCCTAAAATTCTTAACCCCATAGACTGCGGAGATAGGAATACAACATTATGTACAGTTCGAGGTACCCTTAATTTCGAGCACAAACTAACTAGAACAATAGCCCGCGCAACTCTTATTAATATCTGTGATCAATGTGAAAATGCTCTACACTGCAGTGCTTGGAGAGGAAAAAAAGACCTTGTTAACATCTTAGAAAGTAATAGGTCGATCGGTCTGTGTTCAGGTATGCGAATACAGTGTTATCTGCGAACATTAGTGTTACGCAGTTGAGAAGTAGTCACACCTGGGAGAATATCGGACTAAGAACTGCAACAGGGTGCCACCTCACGACACTAGTAGCCCATTTACATGAGCATACAAAGTTCTTCCCATACGTCAGATCAAATCAATCACAACTTCCTTACATACTGATGCACACGATCAAGAGAAGGAGATTTCACGAGATAACAGAGGGCCTCTATGAGTCACCGACATCATGACACCTGTAGCCCATTTGCATGAGCAGTCAAAGGTTCTTCCCATACGTCAGACCACATCAATCATATGCTTAGAACTTCTTTGCTCAGGGATGCACACGATCAAGAGAAGGAGGTCTCACGAGATGAGAGAGGGTCACCGACATTATGAACCATTACAGAATGATGCTTTCCTTGAAGTCCACCCTCATTCATTGCAGCTGAAAAACATTTGTAGCCTTGACGAGTTTTGAACGAATTATATTTAGGATGATGCAGTCGCCCATTCCCATTGTACTCGAATATGTGTGAAACGTGTGTGTAGGATGTGACACAGGCAGAAGCAGATCTTATCATATCACAAAACATGGAGATAAAAACCAAAATTGAGATCATCTCACATTTAACATTTGAATCAATTTCTGAGCGAGTTGATAAAACCTTAACCTAAAACAACTTTCTCACGTGGAAAAGTTTTTAAGTAGATCTATAAAGAGGCTTGCAGGAGGTGTAATCCCGTCGCGCGATTTGAAGAAATAAGTCAAAATTTTTCAAGTGGCTTACCAAAGGGGCAAAAAAAGAACTCAACTGACGATAGGATGCATAATTTTAACAAAGAGATAATTCAATAGATGCCAAGAGTGGGAACATGTAAAAAATGGCATCGATCCAATTCCTTTGCAGTACTGCTGCGAAATATATTATGTTGCCTCATACTAATATAATACTCAGTGGCAGCATCTTATACTGAGTTTTACTGTTTCAACTCGAACTGTGTTAAAATTAAATTTCTAGACAAGGCGAAGAAAGTGGGCTGTCAAGACAAATCAGGGTAGTTTAGGTTGAAGTACGTGGGGGATGGTGAAACCATCTTATATTGGGAGAAGATTGTTGATAATATACAAGTGATATACCGACTTAAAGTTGTGAGTTATGCATTATATGGAGTTAGCTTGGAGTTATCTGAAGTTATGTCATCGCGAAAATTACTCGCCATTCATTCGTATCCGCCTGCACACGAGCTCATCCAGCAGCAGTTTTAAAGTCTAACAACCGGGCATTGTACTTAGATGATCAACATTAGTGTCGATAGTAAACTTCTATTCACTAACGTATGATATAAAAGGTTCACATCATTGCATTGCTGCTAATCATTCCTGTTCGGTAACTGATTAATTGCGTTGGACTTCTGTAAGTTTTTTTTTTGACAAAAACCCGATAGAAACCTCTTACACATTAAGGACCCAAATATTGATGAACTTGCACTCACCACTCCCTTCATCGCCCATAAAATGGCCCCAGCCGCCACAATTGTACGAAGTTCCATCAGGATTCCGTAATAAAGCATTGGATCCTGTACCCGAGATAACAACCATGCCACCGTTTGGCGATGCAGTAAAAATACTGCCGACCGTATCGCTTGTTACCGTATAATTGTCTGACAAATTGGGAAATTGTGCTCGCAATTCCTGTTCCAATTCCCGGTTGTTAGTTTCCTATAAAAGACACAAAAAAAGGAAAACACAAAGTATATGCAAATTATTAACTGACCTTGAATTCAAAAGAAAACCATAAAACATCAAGGGTTATGTTAAGATTGGATTACTTTTTTTAATACATACATGTTCGCAACCGCTCAAACTTAAGCCTAAACTTGTTAAACGTGTCTCCTGTGGTATGCCCGCCTCTGTTTTGGCACGTTCTACCATATCGGCAATGCGACGAGCACATTCAGTCATGCCAATATGCCAATGATTGGTACCCAGACCGGTTGTTGTCGCACAACATTCACCCTTTTCATCACAGATGACTAAACGTGAATGGGTAGCGCCCCTGTTTGGAAAGAAAAAAGAAAGACAATTTTATGAATTAGAATTCGGATGATAAATTGGATATAAAAGATATTGTTCTTTTTCGACAGCAAAGCACTTAAGGAAGAATATAAACACCTTTTACAGATTTCTCAGACATAAATTATGTCCCGGAAGTATGGAAGGAAATAGCTCAAAAGATCGTTTATAAAAAGAATAGAGAAAACTTGCCCATACTGTTTGATCCGTAGAAGGTATGCAATCAATAGAGGACTTATAAAACAATTGATATTTGTGGGAAAACTCCTATTTGTATTATTTGCGAATCCAATTTCAACATCCTACAGAGAATAAACTGAAATCTATTTCCAGCAAATCTATTGTACCTTTATGTACCTCTAGCTATTCCAAAAACTCTGAGACACCCCATGGAGGAACTCACAACATTTTTATAGAAAATTCTAATACATCCAAACAGATTCCAGAAAATCCTGGACCCCCAATCTACAGAGTCACAAATTTTCTACAGAAAATCCAAAGACCTCCAGAAGGACTGAATCTAGAGAAAATCTTAAGACCCTCAAGAAGCGACTCAACAAAATCCTGAGACCATCAATGGCTAAACAAAATACTTAGTCTTCCTATATAAGGTGGTTCCCAAATTATCCGTAGACCTCTCAAGGAGGGGATCACAATTTTTTCTATATGAAATGTTGAGCCCCCAATGAGGAGGCCATAAAATATTCTAAAGGAAATTCTAATATGGGTCACGAAATTCTATGATCAGACATGGATGAACTCAAAATATTTTCTAGAAAAATTCTGAGATTTTCTATAGAAAATCCTGAGATTCCTAAGGAGGTGACCACAAAATTTGTAGAGAAAATCCAGAAATCCCCTAAGGAGGAGATTACAAAATTTTCTAGAAAGAATCCTGAGACACCCAAGGAAGGGATGACAATTTTTTCAGGAGAAAATCCTAAAACCCCAAAAAGAGCGTACTCAACAAAATTGTGAATTCCCCAAAAGGACAGGGCCACCAAATTTTCTGTAAAAAGTCTATAGAACTCAAAAGGACGGGGTCACCAAACTTACTAAAGAAAATCCCGAAACCTCACAATATTTTCTAGCGAAAATCATAAAACGCCCAAAAGAACAAAGATGCCAATTTTGTTAGAGAAAATCTTGAGACCCTTAATAGAATGGGGCCATTATTTTTTAAAGAAAATCTGAGACCCTCCTAAACGACCAGGTCACCACATTTTCTAGCGAAAATCCTGAAACCATAACCAGTGCCGATGAAGGGTATGGGGCAGACTGATGAGTAACAAAAAATAATAGATTTATTTGTTAGATCAGTTAATAGCTTTGAGAGGGTGGTCCTGAAAAAATAAAATAAAAGTTGGGTCGAAGTAACATCGCGGCTATGCAGGTGGCAAACATCAGATCTGATCAAGCTTATTTTAAAAATCGAAGTTCTATGGGGTTTTGGCCGGAGAGATCGACTATGCTGTAAACGAAGACACAAATCCTCTTTTGAGAAGCCCTCAGGATTTTTTTCCAATTGTACAGGGTGAAATGAAACAACTGCAACCAACTTCAGACTGCTATCATTTCTAAGTCACTCGTCCGACAGCTTTTAAATTTATTCCAGTGACAGCTCATTATATTGTTTACATGCGTACAAAAGCAGAAAAAAAAGGTTTTCGTGATGGAATTTAAGCTTGATAGTGTTATTTTTATAGTTGGCTGGAAAACCAAAAACCATCGCTCATTACAGTGATACTGGTAGCGTAGCCCGACGTCAAGGAAGTGAATGGAAGAAAACAGCAACATCAGCATAAATGGTTCGAAAAGTAAAAAAGCGACTTGATCGAAACCCGCGTTGGAGTGGCCGAAAAAAGGATCGTGAGCTGAACATATCGTAATATTCCATTCGGCAAATATTGAAAAATGAGCTCGAGGTAATGTCATTGAAATTCCAAAAAGTCCAAGAATTTACACCGCAACAGAAAGAAAATAGACTCAAAAGAGCTAAAGAGTTACTTCGCTTGGCCGAAAGTGATGAACTGCCGAATTTAGTTTTATCCGATGAGAAAACATTCGTTGTCCAGCAGTTTGTAAACAAACGAAATGATCGGGTTTACTTGCCAAAGAGGTCAGCTGAAAATGTGCACCTTCGGTTGGCCACCAGAACTCAAGCGCCGGCCATGTGATGGTAATGGTGTGGGCCGCCATAACAGCCGATGGTCGCTCTCCGCTCGTATTAATCGACCGTGGCATCAGAATAAATACCGAATATTATGGCGAAAATATTCTGGAGGGTGTGTTAAAGATTTAAGCACGCAAACATTTTGACGGCAAACTTTGGACATTCCAACAGGGCTCAGCACCATCGCACTCAGCACGGGCCACCCAAGAATGGTTACAAAATGAGGTTTCTCGCTTCATTTCTAGCGCACAATGGCCGCCAAACTCTCCGGATATCAATCCGTTGGACTATTGTGTCTTGGGTAATTTGGAATGCAAGGTTGGCGCTAAAACTTCGCTGAGAATGGGCCAAAATACCGCAGAGAAACATTCGGGCAGCGTGAGACGGTTTCATTGACGTTTGAAGTGGCCAATTCGAACAAATCTTAACTTATTCTAAAATTTGAAGCTATTTCCGATATTTTTTTCTTTCATTCAATAACATTTAAAATAACAAATGTAAAAATTATGGCGTTTGACTTTGTTGCAGTTTTTTTATCTCACCCTGTATACTAATCTATCGTGAAACGTTTTCTACGTATCCAGGATAAAAACAGAGGACCAGAGATCCCCGCCCGCGGAATAAGTTTTCTGGTAGTAATACATTCTACACCACAACTCATATTTGTGGAAAAAATTTCCGAAAATTCGTTCCAAGTAAGGTTGTAAAGTATCTATTGAGAAATTAAAAACTTATTTTGATATTTTATAGTATTTACATTAACATATGTTGTAGAATACATACAATAAATCGGTATGTATTGTAATATCTTAAATTATAGAACCCAATTGATAAAATACAATAAAGCTTCCGCAGTGTAAATACGACACTCGTCATATATTTTTTATTTATGAATTTCATCGACAATCAATAGCGGAAAAATAAAAACAACAATAATATAAAAACATAATTGTAAATCACCAAAGAAATTACATTTTATTTGCAATGATTCCCTGCTCTTGCGACGCACTGAATTTTTTCTTGCTTATCTATTGAAAAATATTTGCCCACAACGGGGAGGGTCCAATAAAAAATTCCTGAACCGTAGGCCACGAACATTGAAATCTGTTTATCGGTAGAAGCAAATAATTTATTGATTAATTGATTATTGCGACATCGACAATTGTCATTCATTCATTGATTCCATGACAAAAAATAGGAAAATTACATTCATAACATCTGTTACGGACATTTACCCATACCAATAATAGCAGCAACGACATTCTCTCTGATACGCACTTATTGTCATAAATTGAAATTGATTTGATTATACAATCTTGGTTAGGGCAAGAAAGAAAGTCATGATCCCAATTAAATAGATTGTCATACATCTTCCAGATGCACCGTTTGACCACAAAGTCACTGAACTTCATTAAAAACCAAATGAATTTGTGCCAACAATGTAACCTGAATGAAATTCAATTGAAGCGAATTGATTGTAATTGAGTGAATCTATACATTTTGTAGCTTAATTCGCTTAGATTGATGCCGAACAAAGGTGTACGCAAAATAGTTCAATTAATGCATCATGATTCTGTTAAAAGTAAGGAGTGAGCACAACGTAGAGAGATAATGAAACAACTATATACATCAAAACATGTCAAAAATGTTGTAAAAATGTATAATAGTTCCATATATAGGTCTAAAGTTTCATAGAGTTTTTACCTTTTGTTCTGTTCCAGAACTGCAAGAATGAACAACTCTTTATTACGGTAACCGATTTTTCCATTACGATAACGAAGAAAATTGTAAGACTAGTAAGTTCATGCTGGTTCTGGAACGGAGCATTTGTTTCATGGTAGAATCATGGCACAATAACAGAAGGTAGAACAAAACTACCTTCTAAATACAATGTTGCCCGTATTCTGTCAAAACATACACAGGGTGAGATGAAAAAACTGTAACCAACTTCAGACTGCTGTGAAAATTATTCCAGTGACAGATCATTATATTGCTTGCAAGCGTACAAAAGCATTTTGGTGAGAATTTTCCAGAAAAAAAAGAAACTTGTGATGGAATTCAAGCGTGATAGTGTGATTTCTTTATATTTGGCTGGAAAACCACAAGTGACTATCGTTAGAGCACTCCAGCCTTTAAATGTGAAAAAATATTTTGTGTCTCGTACCATCGCTCGTTACCGTGTTACTGTTAACGTAGCCCGACGTCAAGGAAGTGGACGGAAGAAAACAGCAACACCAGCAGAAATGGTTCGAAAAGTAAAGAAGCGAATTGATCGAAATCCGCGTGCAAGAACTTACACCGCAACTGAAAGAAAATAGACCCAAAAGAGCTAAAGAGTTGCTTCGCTTGGTCGAAAGTGGTGAACTGCTGAATTCGGTTTTCTCCAAAGAGAAAACATTCGTTGTCCAGCAGTTTGTTTACATTTGTTTGTTTACAAACTGCTGGGCAACGTGTTTACTTGCCAAAGGTGAAAATGTGCACATTCGGTTGGCCACAAGAACTCAAGCGCCGGCCATGTGTCGCTCGTATTAATCTACCGTGGCATCAGAATAAATGCCGAATATTATTGCGAAAATATTCTGGAGAATAATCAGAATAAATGCCGAATATTATTGCGAAAATATTCTGGAGGGTGTATTAAAGCCTTGGGCATGCAAACATTTTGCGCATTTCCAGCGCACAATGGCCACCAAAATCTCTGGATACCAATCCGTTGGACTATTGTGTCTGGAGTATTTTAGAAAGCAAGGTTGGCACTAAAAACTTCCAAAGTGTTGATCACCTCAAGCAAGCGCTTCGCCGGGAATGGGCCAAAATACTGCAGAGCAACATTCGGGCAGCGTGTGAAGGTTTCATTGGCCGTTTGAAGACCATAATTCGTGCCAAAGGTGACCAATTCGAACAAATCTAAACTTATTCTTAGATTTTATGCTATTTCCGACATTTAATAAAATTTACATAAATTAAAATATATAAATATTACGATTGGCCCCTAATGTCAGTTCTTTTTTGACATTTTTGTTGTAAACACATTCGAAATACACGTTAACTGCTCCAGAACGCGAAATATTGTTGACTATTTATTTGACCAATAATTGGTCGGTGACTTTGGCAAAACCATGATAGAATTAAGAAGGTAAAGTCATTTAAAATACGACATCGACCGGACGACGTGCCCCGCAAATGGGTATCAGTCGACGATCTTTACAAGATTTGAAGATGTTTTAGTACAAAGTATAGATGTTGCACCTGCTGTTAGCTGTTGACCGCCAATCGCGTGTAACATAACCTCAAGCCCAGCAAGAGGAAGATGATGATGATGAGTGGTGAGGTCTATTTCCATCTTAGGAGCACTGAAAATACGTGTATAACACACGAAGAGCCATTAAACCCGCTCAAAGTCGCTGTATGGTGTGCTGTTTTCGGTGGAGGAGTCATCAGACTTTTTCTTTGAGGATATCGGGGGCCAAACGGTTACTGTGAATGGTGAGCGCTACAAAGCAATGATCAACAACTTCTAAAAACAAGTAAAAAACCGAAAAAGCAGTAAGTTCGGCCAGGCCGAACTTTGAGTACCCTCCACCATTTGGAACGAATTTGGAAATTTAAAAAAAAATAACCGTTGTATGTGGGCTATACGATATCTTGAACGTTATTTCTCTTCCAGGGAGTAAAGTGCTAGACAATAACATTCCAGGGGATGAAGTACTCAGAAGGAAATACTTATGTGGATTTTCAGACAATTATATTGGAAAATGTGGCTAAAATCATCAAAATACCGAATATCGGGGAGTATCGTTGTATGGTGGCTATACGATACATTTGACCTATATAAACAATTCTCTTCCAGAGGGTAAAATACTCAGAAAGAACTCCTTGTGTGAATTTTCAGACAATTCCATTGGAAAATGTGGCTAATATCATCAAAATACCGAATATCGGGGGGTACCGTATAAGGGGGCTATACGATATCGTGGACCGATATAGCCCATCTTCGGACTTGACCTGCTTGCAGACAAGAGACTGATCTGTGCAAAATTGTAGCTTCCTATCTTTATTCGTTTTGACTCTAGCGTGATTACAACAGACGGACGGACGTCTATCGTCTATTTTACGCTGATCAAGATCGTCTATTTTATGCTGATCAAGAATATATATACTTTGTTATGTCTAAAAAGATTATTTCAATGAGTGACAAACGGAATGACAACTTAATATACCCTCCATACTATGTATTGCGAAGGGTATAAAAATCCGCAAGAATCAAAGGTTTTCTTTTTTTAAATACAGCCAAAAAAGAACATCGGAAATTTAAGTTGTGAATAATAAAGGAAACAATTTGAAATTATTTTAAATACAGTTGCAACAGAAATGCATATTTTCAGTATTAATGGGAAAACAGTACGATTTTGTGAACACATATATGTGTACTTTAAAATTTCATATTGTATATATGAATATGTGTACAACTCTTGGTTTAACTTACCCTTCAATTCCACCAAAGTATTTCATTGTGATTTTTCGTCCTAAATTCTGCCGGTTCCAATTTAACGACTTTTAAAAAAACGCCTCTAATTTTTATGAATGCGTAACCTGTATAGAAACAAAACAGAAATAGATAAAACAACGTAAAATAAAAGTTTAGATATCCAAACAATATATTTTAAAATACTCCATGATCCAAGCAATAAATGTTATCTTTTGATTGTGTTGCGGTTTTTTACCTTTCCATCGTAACACAATTTGTGCTTAATTGCAGAATAATAAGCGCAAGCAAAAAACAAATGACGAAAAACGCAGTTTAAAACGAATTTAAAAGTTTTTTGGTATTCATTGAATGTGTGGCGTTAGCAAGCATGCACTTGATGAATGATTTTCAGTTACATTCTTATCATTTTTTTGCTTAGGTTCAAAATTCCTTAACTATTTCGTTTTTGGTTTAGTGCAATTATTTAAAAACGAATTGATTTTTCTCACATTTATATATTTTTAAGCTCACTTCGGTTAGAATTTCCCCAAAGTTATCGCAATTTCAACTTTGTAATTTCATGAAAAGCGATAGATGTCAAACTCTAATGAAAACAACTCGGCGCCACATTACAATAAATATTGTTGGCCCGTCTGTTTACCCTAAAACTTGTAAAAATCATTGCAAATTGTCGCAAGAAAGTCCCGTGTTAACACAAACTTTCTGCAAAAATTAGGGATTTGAGAAAAATTTTGAAAGTTCATTACTGGAGTCCTTGCCTGCTAAATTTCATCTTGGAATCACTTTCAACTCTTCTCCTTTTTTAAGTATCCGGTAACAAGTTATTGTGCAAGCAATTAAAAAAAATGTTTTTGACGTTCGCAAGCCAAAATCGGGAGGAGTTCATTTTTTGGCTTGTTTTCTATATAATACATTTTTAGTAGTTTTGTTTCTTTTTTAGCGGACTAATTGTTTGGACAAATCAGATGATTTCTGGCAAGTTTTCGTAGAGATTCCTTCTGTATACTTTTCACAGATCTCTCTCACAGATGAAAACAAAACTACATTACAATTTCTGAACAATTCTTGTGGGAAAAGTAGTTAGACCATAAATAAATTTTAAAACAAACAAGTAAAAAACATTAAATTCGACCGAGCCGAACTTTTAATACACTCCACCACTTGGAACGAATTGGACAATTTTCAAAAAAATAAAATCCGTTAAAAATTCTGTTAAAATCTTAAAAATACCGAATGTAGCCGTTATATTAGGGTCTATATTACGACGTGGACCTACATAGGCAATTTTTGTCATAAGCCATTACAATATCCAAATGCAAAACTTAAAAAACAGGTGAATAATGTAGCTAAAATCACCAAAATACCGAATATAGGGAGGTACCATTATATGGGGGCTATACCACAACGTGGACCTGCACAGTCAATTTTTCGTCATAGGCTGTAGTATCCATTACGAACTTCAAATACCAAATTTGAAACAATAAAATCATTAAAATACCGAATATCTTGTGTTGCCATTATATATATTATATATTATTATGGGGGCTATACGAAGACGTGGACCTACACAAGCAATTTCCTGTCTTAGGCTGTAGTATACATTACGAACTTCAAATGCCAAATTTGAAATAATTCCGGTGAATAATGTCGCTAAAATTATCAAATATCGAATATCAGGAGGTGCCATTATATGGTGGTATACCAAAACGTAGACCTACATGGCCAATTTTAAACACCAAAAGTCTTGCAGACATAATATACATTTGAGTAAAATGTTATCAACCTACTTCATTTCGTTCGAAAGCTAGAGTGATTTCCACAGACGGGCAGACGGACGGGCATTGATAAATCGACATAGAATTTTAAGCTAACCAAGAATATATATACTTTGTGGGGTCTAAAATGTATAGTTTGAGGTGTTACAAATGGAATGACAAATTTAATATACCCTCCATACTATGGTGGAGGGTATAAAAATGGAATTAAATCACAAAACGTCATATCGAATTTAACACTAGTATTACTATAGAGTTAAATCAGCTGGGTTTTGCTGCCACCTGTAATATTTATACAATGATGTGTACCAGTGCAATATGACTAGAATAGATTAACCCATGGTAACATTATGTCATTCATCTCTGCATTTTCTGTAATTTACCTTGTCTAATTTCACTGCATAAGAAACAGGCTCCTATCTTTGATTTGTGTATGTACAATGAATTTAAATATACATTTTGAGAATGAGATGTTGTCAAATGAATAATTTTGAAAAAAATGTTAATACTACCATGGATTTTCCCAAGGAATTTCAAATAGGAAGAGGGAGATAAATCTTAAAGAAATATATAAGAAATTAATATATAAGAAATTATGGCTTAACTCTAGTTTAGTAAAAACTCTTCAATTTTTTCGAAAATTTTTTCAGTGGTAGGTATTTTAACCATGATCCCGGGAAACTATTTTTTTCTTGGGGGACGGACCCGGGACCCCAGATTTTTGACCCGAAAGTCCGGGTTCGAGACCCCTACTAGACCCGGATCCACTTACCCGATATAGACAATATGGGTATCGATATAGACAATATGGGTATGGGGGACAACAAAATTGATGCCAAATTATAGCTGACACTTCTACCTTTCCAAAAAGGTTCAATTTGTGCTAATACCTTTACTGAGTCCAGAGATATGGGTCTTTCCATCCGCATAACCCGATTCTAACCAGTTCATTAAAACTATGTTTTCAATAAAAAAAGTATATTTTGCGTAAGAATGAAATTCAGAAATCTTTGATTCGCGTTAGCCGGTGTAGGACATACCCAGAGGAGAAAATCTCAAGCCCCGGCCGAAGGCCGGCTACTTACAAAAGGTATCCAATTTAGAAAACTTTGGTTCGCGTTAGCCGGTGTGGGACATACCCAGAGGAGAAAATCTCAAGCCCCGGCCGAAGGCCGGCTATTTCCAAAAAGTGTCAAATTTAGAAAACATTGGTTCGCGTTAGCCGGTGTGGGACATACCCAGAGGAGAAAATCTCAAGCTCCGGCCGAAGGCCGGCTATATACAAAAAGTGTCAAATTTAGAAAACTTTGGTTCGCGTTAGCCGGTTTAGGACATACCCAGAGGAGAAAATCTCAAGCCCCGGCCGAAGGCCGGCTACTTACAAAAGGTATCCAATTTAGAAAACTTTGGTTCGCGTTAGCCGGTGTAGGACATACCCAGAGGAGAAAATCTCAAGCCCCGGCCGAAGGCCGGCTATTTACAAAGAGTGCCGAAATTATGAACCTTTTGTTCGCGTTAGCCGGGGTCGGACATACCCATAGGTGAAAACCTCAAGCCCCGGCCGAAGGCCGGCTATTTACAAAAAGTGCCAAATTTAGAAAACTTTTGTTATTCCGACGACTGCTACGCGAAATAAACACTTTTTTTATTAAAAACATAATTTTAATGAACTGGTTAGAATCGGGTTATGCGGATGGAAAGACCCATATCTCTGGAACCGAAAAAGGTATTAGCACAAATTGTAGCATTTTGGAAAGGTAAGAGTGTCAGCTGTAATTTGGAAACAATTTTGTTGACCCCCATAATGGGCCCTTTTTTGACTTTTTGGGGGTTTCATAAAAAATCCGGGTCCAAAAAATCGATAATTTGACTATAACTTCCGAACCATGACAACTTACCCCTTCATGTGACCACTTGTTGGATAGGTATTTCCATAAGCTTTCAATCGATACCCATATTGTCTATATCGGGTAAGTGGATCCGGGTCCAGGCGGGGTCTTGATCCCGGACTTTTGGGTCAAAAATCTGGGGTCCCGGGTCCGTCCCCGAAAAAAATAGTTTCCCGGGATCAGGGTAAAAATACCTACCTCTGGAAAAAATTTCGAAAAAATCTAAGAGTTTTTACTAAACTAGAGTTGTTCCGAAATTATATATGCAATTTTTGTACCCACTAAAAATCCTAAATTGTATACATAAACAAACCACTGTGCGCCCACTAACCAAAATTGAATCAAAATATCACCAACAACAACCGGTAGTTGATGAAACGTAACTTGACAGAACCACAAAAATGCACTTTAAAATCGTAAAGCGTGCTGCGTGTCTATGTACACCAACCGACCGGTCGACAGGTAGGCACACATGAGACCCGCTCGCCCACAAACCGACTGACCACATTTCAATACGTAAACACAAATGCAAACAAATTAACAGAGAATGAAACAACGACAACAAACACCAACTAAATAAATAACAACACACCAAATTACACTCAAATAAAACAAACGAATAAACGACACGTAAACAAAACCAACACCAACAGAAAAGATTAGTTTATTATTTGCTTCGTTTGAAGATTTGATAAAATAAACAATATTTTTCATTCATTATTCTCACTAAAAGTGTTGATATCAAATACAGAGATTCGATTGCGAAAAAAAAACAAAAGAATTTACCATTTACTTCCAAATAAATGTTGAAGTAATTTGTTTTTGCTTTGAGGGCTTGGTATTTTGTTCAAATAATTTTTTTTTATTATATTGCAATAATTATTATTAAATACAACTGTGCACTATTATTAGCAACACCTAATGAATTTTTGTTGTCAAACTACTTTTACGACGTTAGTTTCGTTTCTATTTTTTAAACCGAAAATCGATTCACTTCCGTATCTGCAAAACGGCGAATACTCGACGGTTAAACGTTCACGTTCGGAATGCTGGTGGTGGTGCATAACGCCTCTGTTGAAACCTGCTGTTCACAGTGTGCCAACAAACCATTCACTCACTTGTTCGGCGAGTATCAGTGTTGCCATTAATGGGTTTTTAGATAAAAAATATTGTAGGGAAATTGTGCAAAACTGGTCGGTCATACTTTCAACCACTAGAGAAATAAAAAAGCCTTGTATTAGAAATGAACGTCTCATTTGGTATTTATTTTATTTCAGTATTTAGATTAAATTTATAATAATAAAACATCATTTCTTTGGTATAGCCTCCTCTCCTCCTCCCCCAAACTTCCAAAAATTCCATATACATACCATGGTAGAATTAGGGAGGTAAAGTCATGCAATCATATATTTACAATTTTTTTCAAAAATTATTCATTTGACAACATCTCATTGTCAAAATGTTTATTTATAAATCCAAAATTTTGTATTTATACATACAAAAATTAGAGATGGGAACCTGCTTTTATGTAGTGAAATGTGACAAGGTAAATTACAGAAAATTCAATTTTCAATTAATTGAAAACGTCAGTGGAATACAATTTTGTGCCCAGATTTTTGTTTAACAGAAAATGTTTTTCGTAAAATTGCTCTGTATTTTTTTATGCTAACATGTCTCTTTTGTGGGCAGCGCCTCTACATATTTTTAACTTAACTATTATTCATAATGCATTTTGTCCAGTCTTTACCATTTTAAGTCTTTGGTATAAAACGTTCGCAGCGGACACCTATATCGCTTCAGTGGTTTGATCGAATATATTCAAGGTATTCAAATATATTATATTAAAAATATTAACCACTGCAAGATACCAATAATCTTAAAAGATTACATTGGATAACAGCCTATCAACTGCATAATGAGAGAAATAAGCAAACAAATAAATGACATTAGGTATGTACCAAGGTAGATGAATAAAGGTAGATGCATTAACGCTTGGGAACATTGATATGCCAACATTTTTAAAATGTTATATCAAAAATTAGTAGATTTTTAATTGTTTTTTATATGACGCAAATCGGAGGTTTTTATAAAATACAGTTTTCCAATCGGCTGATGTTTCTGAAAATTTCCTCCTAAGCAATTTTTTCAGTAATATTTTGCAAACCATTTGCTCTTTTCCAGAACTGCAAGAATGTAAAAACTTTTGCTACGAAAATCGAGTTTTACTTTATGATATCGAGAAAAATTACAAAACTAGTAGATTTTTGCGGATTCTGAAATAGTAGTGGAATTCTCTAGCTCATTTTTTATTCGCATAAAATGCTTATCATTTCAGTGATCGGCATATTAGCGACGAAATCAAAGTATATACCAATGTTGTCAACTTTAACTTCTTTTTTATATCAAAATTTTCGGTTTCAAATTTGCCGATTTTTGTCGGTAACTTAAAAAATGAGTTAGAGAATCTCACTACAGAGCAATAAATAACTCAGCTGTCAACATAGCTTTCTTTACTCGAACTTATTGGCTAGACAAATTCTGTGCAAAATAGTAATATATTTTCGAAGTCCAACAAGCTTAACAAGCTAATTGAATACGCAAAATGGTTGTATGTATATTTATTAGTCTATATCATCCAAAAATCATCTGAAATTGATTGGAAATTCTTATTGAGAAAGTCAAAATGCCTCCCTTTACCACATTCTGTAAAAATTCGTAAACATTTCGGCTGAGCTTCTTTGAACGATGAAGACGAAAACTAACTGCAGAAGTAATTTTGTCTCTGTAGATGTACTCTTGTAACCGGCTTAAGCAAAACAAATCAACCTGCGGTGGATGCGGTTATGACAGGGTGCCCGAAAAATTAATAAAAGCAATAAAAAATTATAATAGACAATTTTGGCTGAATAAATATGGGAGTATGATTGGCAGATACTGATTAGCAGACTGTTGATTTTTGATTTTTAATTTTGACAAATTTCCTAGTTTTTCGTCCCCATTGTTTCTAATACTTTCAGTGCAAACTTCATATATTTCTTCTAATAGTAGTATGTACATTCATCAAATGTCGAAGAAAAGTTCCTAGAGTTGCGAAACAGTTTGAGTTCTTTTGAGAGAGTTAGAAATTTTATTGCAAGAAAACTTATAATTTTATGGTGAATATAAAATATATTTCCACAAAATATTAAATCCATTTAAAACATACAAACGTTTTCGAGCAATTTTTTACCATTCTCAATGCAACTTAAAAAAAGACTTTCTCAATATAGTTTGTCTAATTTACTGTACTTTTGGGTGAATTGCATATTCAATGCCGCAAAAATTATCGAGTACAGATATGCTGAATATAAGTAAAGAACAGGAGGTAGGTGCCTTTTTTAAATATCTCGCCAAAAGGAGAAAGATGAATGGGGAAAAAATAATTTTCATCGACTCAACCAGAATCACATTTTATTTTACCAATTTTACAGCTTTGATCATATTTTATTCACTGGGGCCGCTTTCGAGAAAAAATACAAACGTTCAATGTCAAAAAAAATTGGCAACTCTATAAAGTACTCTACCTTAAATATTATGCTTTCTTTTGTTCTTGTATTTACCCTCCCATTTCACCCACCAACCCCCCTTGGATGCAAAATTCACTGCAAATCAAAAATGTGCTCACATTGTGAGAAAAAATGTGCCGGTACTCTCACACCCCAATCAATGATTTTTGTTCGCTTTTTTGGCAAGTTGAATGAGCTCTATCTTCTCTCGCACTCATTCCTCTTTTTGCCAACATGAGCCTCCTTAAGATGTTGCCAACCCAATTAAATTTGTTTTCAATTTGACGCTTTTTTGTAATGAGGAGAATAAATTTGCTCTTTATTTAAAAAACAAAGGATATTCAGGAAAAAAATGCGAACATGTTTTTTGTGTTATTTATTATATATCGTTAAACCATAAAATACGCTCATATCAACACAAAGGTACGGAAAATGCATGGAAATAATATAACATGTGTGTTTATAGCAATAAGTTCTTAATAAAAAATATGTGGAGAGGTTATTAAGAGTTTTGCTCTGTTCCAGTACCTGCAAGAATCTACTAGTCTTGTAGCATTTTTCGTGCAATGACGGCATGACAACCTACCAATACAAAATTTAAATTTGAAAATTTATGGAAAACAAAGGCTTAACTCTAGTTTAGTAAAATTTCTTCGATTTTTTTTGAAATCGGTCACATATTTCACATGTTATATAAGTAAAAAATTATACTGTACCAAATTTGGACAACATCAAGTGTCCCGTACATTGAAAAAAATATATTTTTATGTATTATCGTTTATACCTCTTGTAGATTCTGAATTTTTGAAAATCCACCTTTTTAGGTCTGATAGTGACCAAGTCGATAATTAAATATAAACCTTACAACTACTATAGATTAAAAAATCTAGTTTGAGAGTATGTAAGTTTAGAGTTCTAAATATTATGTAAAATTTGAATTTAAGGTAACGCTGTTACAAACATTCAATTTTTTGTATTATTCTTTTATATTTTCAACACACAAAAAAGAAATTGCTCAATTGTCAATGTTGAAAATGTTCAACTTTGGATTTTTTTCGCCCGACGTATTTTAGTAACTGTTTATAATTACATGTGTTTCAATTCTGTGGTGAAAATGTCGACTGAATTTTAGGTAACGTTGTAATTGGAAAATTATACAAAGGGGTGAATTTAATAAAGTATCATTTTTAAAACGTTATTATTTGGTATATTATTTATTTAAAGATATGAAACCGACGTATTTGATTAATACGGACTTAAAAATTCAAACTGCAGGGAAATTTTATTTATAAACATAAACCTCAAATACTACTTAAAAAATTTCCAATCTTTGAAAACACATCCTGAGAACTTGAGATCAATTATTTCCTTAAAATAATTCGCGAAACTTTTACATTGTATCATTGCCATTTATAGGTATGCCTCATACATTTTCAAGATCAACATGGATGTCAAGAGATCAAATAAACAATCGACATCCAAGTCTACACACAATGAAAGACCTGAGACAAATAGAATATAGTACAAGGTTAGATCTCTTATCAATATTCATAATGAAGAGAACAATCTTAAACATGTTAAACATACAGAAAGCGGAACACAGTCTCAATTCAGTAGTCTAAGAGGAAACTGCTTAAAAAGTACAATTAAAACGATGAATTTCCTTTGTGAAATATTATATAATTGCTATATAGTGATATTGGTTCTTACGACGATAGTTAGTCAAGCTATGACGGCACCACAGCAACAGAGGCAATATTACAATGCCCATTCCTATCAGTATCCGCCACAACCAGTTTATCCCCAGTATACACATAATGCCAATGGCTATTACTATTATCCACCACCACCTAGACCACAACAACGCTACAATGTGCCTGCACAACCGAAAAAGGAAAGATCTTATAAGGATATATGTCGTATGGTTAATGCAAATGGTTTCACCAATCCCGGTGGTGTTCCCAAGTGTCCTTATTAATGTGTAATTGCAGAGCAAAGATATTCTTACTGTCTAATTTTATGTGTGTAAATTTGTGTCTTAGGAACAAATCAAAAAATAAATGTAAATAATTTTATAGTTTTTCAAAAAGAAAAGTTGTTTGGCAAATAATATATATATCTTTTTAACCCATTTTGAAGACCTTCTACATAGAAAATTCACATGGATTTCCTATTTATAAAATACCTTCCTGAGGACCGTCTCATCTACAGGGTGAGATAAAAAACTATAACAAAGTCAAACGCCATAATTTTAACATTTTTTTTTTTAATTTTATTGAATGAAAGCAAAAAATGTCGGAAATAGCATCAAATTTTAGAACAAGTTTTGATTTGTTCGAATCGGTCACCTCTAGCACGAATTATGGCCCTCAAACGGTCAATGAAACCGTCACACGCTGCCCGAAATGAAAATGAAGCGAGGAATCTAATTTTGCAACCATTATTGGGTGGCGCGTGCTAAGTCCTGTGGCCAAAATGTTTGCGTTCCCAAGGCTTTAGAATATTTTCGCGATAATATTCGGCATTTATTCTGATGCCACGGTCGATTAATACGAGCGGAGAGCGACCATCGTCTGTTATGGCGGCCCACACCCTCACCATGGCCGGCGCTTGATTTGTGGTGGCCAACCGAAGGTGCACATTTTCAGCTGACCTCTTTGGCAAGTAAACACGATCATTTTGTTTGTTTACAAACTGCTGGACAACGAATGTTTTCTCATCGGAGAAAACCAAATTCGGCAGTTCACCACTTTCGGTCAAGCGAAGCAACTCTTTAGCTTTTTTGGGTCTATTTTCTTTCAGTGGCGGTGTAAGTCCTTGCACTTTTTGGAATTTCAATGGCTTTACCACGAGCTTATTTTTCAATATGCCGAATGGAATATTGCGATCTGATCAGCTCACGAGCCATTTTTCGGACACTGCGATGCAGGTTTCGATCAAGTCGCTTCTTTATTTTCGAACCATTTTTGCTGATGTTGCTGTTTCCTTCCGTCCACTTCCTTGACGTCGGGCTACGCTACCAGTACCACGGTACGATACACAAAAGATTTATTCACATTTAAATGCCGGAGTGCTCTAACGATAGCCACTTGTGGTTTTCCAACCAAATATAAAGAAATCAAACTATCACGCTTGAATTTCATCACGAATAACTTTTTTTTTTCTGGAAAATTCTCATCAAAATTATTTGGAGCGCTTTTAAACAACAATGAGTTGTCACTGCAATAATTTTAAGAGCTGTCGGACGAGTGGCTTAGAAATGACAGCAATCTGAAGTTGGTTGCAGTTTTTATCTCACCCTGTATAGACTGTCTCCTTTACAGAAGACATTTGAAAGACCTTGTAAGGTCCTTTAACTGTAGAAAATACATCAACATTCTCTTGGATGCCTTTGATGTACAGAAGTTTAATGGTCTAGCTTTTAAGGATACTTTTTAAGTGTATTTCCTTCATTCAAGCCCCTTTAAATGTCTTCTTATGTATATTGTCGTATAGACCTGTATCTAGAGGCCATCTTTAGATAAACTTTATAACCAATTTTATTTATATAGGCTTTCTATCCATTGAATCTTTTCAAATGTCTTATCCATCGAAGTCTCCTTTCGGGATAACCTCATTGCTTTACAGGTACTGTATTCGACTCTTAAGTATAATTTAAAATAGTTTTAGATCTTTATTTAATTTTTAGTTTTAAACTAAATTTAAGCTTTTTATAAGTTACATTGTGAATTTTTGTCGTTTTTATTAACCTACATATACAAATGCATACATATACTAGAACATTGTTTAGTTAGCATTTTCTGTTACACTAATTTTAATTCCCTAAACAAAACATTCTTGGAACGATAGGATTATTTTTCTGTGCTTAATAGAGAAAGATAACAAGGGAGAAAAATAAACCCTGAGTGTGGCCAGCCTTTAACATCAGTCATCATTAAATTTCATTCCGTAACACTAATTAAATAAAATCATAATAACGAATCATCTTTCATCAGCAGTTCAATATTCAACGTACGGCAATAGAGAGGGGAAAGATGTTTTACTTAGCAAAGTGTGGGGACATTGTTGAATATTTTGGACTTTAGAGATTTGGTACAGATGTTTAGAACAATCTCTTGTGGATAATGTAAAAGACACAGGCTAAGAAGAAAGCAAAGGCAAAGAACAATAGCATTTTATCGGTACATTCACGTCGTCCATATTTCTTTAATAGTTTGCCAGATTGTGAAATGGTACCGGCTGTATTTGTTAGTTCATCCCGTGTCGCCTCCACATTTTGTGAGGATGCCACCAAATTTTCCAATGTAATGGCACTCTTTTGTGTTGTCTCTGAAAGATGTCGTGATATGGCCAGCATTTTCTCAGTTACATTATTTTCTTGTGACACCAAACTGCCACGATTATGACGTGTCGCTGATCCAGCGGTGTGACGTTGCCGTAAATCTGTTTCGCCTGTTATGGCCATAAGTTCTTCACGATTTGCCTTTTCAATTTCTAACATAGTAGCCACATTTGCTTTACGAAATGCCTGCAGCACTTTTGAGAATTGTTCTCTTTGGGTGTCGACTTCTTTGGACAAGGCCGGGTCACCGGTATCACGAGCCCAATCATTTAGGCGATCAATGTTTTTCCTCAACGCAGCCAATTTTGCACGACCAGCCTCATTAAGGGCTTCCAATTCTTGTATTGAGCCGCGATATGTAACAATGTCCTTTGAAAAGGGAATTAATTAGTCATACGTGAATATAAACGTAGTCGAAAATCCTCACCTGTATGATGGCCTTTGCCTGTAGATTGTTGTCAATTAAATCCTGCCTTATTGACTGCAGTGTGTATTTCTCTATATTCATTTTGGGTTGATTGGAATGAATTGAATTGGGAATTTACTTTAAAATTCAGAATGTCCTGTTCCTTTTTACGTTATTTTTCTAAATAATAATATGTTTTCACAGAATGACAAGTTCAATCAGTTTGTAAAGCACAAAGTTCCTATAAGAGAACCCACCGCCGTAACATAAGAAACAAAAGCCAAAACGGAATGTGCGATAAATATCAAAATCAAAACTGAAACAACGAAACAGCTACGCGATTCATTAAATGAACAAAGGGACTAGAGATGTGTCGTCGCGAGTCGATATTGTTCAAAAGAAATATTCACTGAAGTGATCAATAGAAAAATTTCTACTCTCTGGATTATTTGTTGCTTTCTTAGAGTTTACACATGACAAATTGACTTGAAATCGGGGTTGTAGAAATTCGATGACAAATATGCAGTTTATTCATAGGAGCCAAAGATTCAATCATGATAAAATGATACAGGAAGGCGCATCAACACAGCTGATACAATCAGCTGTCAAAAGATTTTTGAATGAAGATTTATTCAAGTTAATTGAATTTGTTGAAAATCGCATATCATACCAACCATCCATTTATTGTTGCAGATATTTTTAAATAATTTTGGCATATCAATATTTCCAAGTGTTGTATCATCTACCTGTATACTTCTACCATAGTACATAAGCATAATTTATGTCAAATTGTAATGCAAATTGTAATGTAATACAACCGTTGTTACAACTTAGAGGGCAGCAAAGTTGTATGCTTCGGCCACAAACGATATAACTTTGTGTACAACCTCTTTGTACAACTTCACTTTTCGTAGATGTTATTGGAGTTAAGATGACACCGGAAAAAAAATCATGTTCTATAATTGGCTCAATAGCATTTATTTCGTATTAATTTTTGAAATTCCATTTTTTAAATTAAAATTCAATTTTATGTGTATATTAAAATCACACATTTGATTGGATTTCGTGTTGTTTTGATGTGTGAAACAATGGTGTTGCCTCTTAGAAAATACATACAAAATGAAATTGTATGCGACATGCCCACTAACGATTGGAGACGTAAATAAGTATTGAAATTTCATGATTTTATGTTCGATCGGCCAATTCCTTTTGAACATTCTATATTTTTTTTGACAGATGCTTATGTATGTTTATACAACTTAGCCCTAATGTTAATATCTTTCTCTTGAATTATTTCAAAGTTCTGCATTCGGTACCACGAAGAAGAGCTATAATTCAATTCTGGATTTGTGAAGACCTTTTCAGTCTATTTATCACGTGATTTCCTAATATTATGGTAATTTTTTCCACCGAAATATAGTTCTTTGATATATTTTTGGTTATTAAATTTGTTAGTATTTCATCTCATCCAGGTTATATTGCAATGTTTTTCGAAACATCTTCAACATTTTACATTTGCCATAGACAGTTTCACTTATTTAAATCAAGTGTTCTGTTCAAATAACAATTTTGAATATTTGTTGTTTCTTTTGAAATCGTAACTAAATTGTATACTCAAAACAAAATATTTCCAAAAATATTTGTCAGAAGTCGGTCACCCTCAGAAAAAAATTTAATCAGCTGGGTGATGATAGGATGAGATAAAAACTGCAACAATGTCAAACTCCATCATTTTTAAGCTACAAGTACGTAAGAAGCTTGAAGTCATGGCTAGGCATATTTTGTTAAATTTCATAAAGGGAGTACAGAGCCGCACTAAAATCCTGTCGTCGTTATCCATTAAAACTTGACATTAATATGCCTAGCCTTGACTTCAAGCCTTTTATGTACTTGCACCCTTACATTTTTTTAGATTTTATTGAATGAAAGCAAAAAATGTCGGAAATAGCATTAAATTTAAGAATAAGTTTAAATTTGTTCGAATTGGTCCCCTTTGGCACGAATTATGGCCTTCAAACGGCCAATAAAACCGTCACACGCTGCCGAATGTTGCTTTGCTGTATTTTGGCCCATTCCCGGCGAAGCGCTTGCTTGAGGTGATCAACACTTTGGTATTTTTAAGTGCTAACCTTGCTTTCCAAAATTCTCCAGACACAATAGTCCAACGGATTGGTATCCGGAGATTTTGGTGGCCCTGTGCGCTGGAAATGAAACGAGGAACCTTCCTTCTGTTGCGGTGTTAGTTCTTGCACTTTTTGGAATACCCCCAGCTCATTTTTTAATATTTGCCAAATGGAATGTTGCGATATGTTCAGCTCACGAGCCATTTTTCGACACGGCCACTGCGACGCGGGTTTCGATTAAGTCGCTTCTTTACTTTTCGAACCATTTCTGCTGATGTTGCTGTCTTCTTCCGTCCACTTTCTTGACGTCGGGTTACGCCAACACGGTAACGAGCGATGGTACGAGAACCAAAAGATTTTTTCACATTTAAATGCTGGCCACTATAGCCACATTTAAATGCTGGACACGATAACCACTTGTAGTTTTCCAGCCGAATATAAAGAAATCAGACTATCACGCTAGAATTCCATCACGAATAACTTTTTTTCTAGAAAATTCTACCCAAAATGCTTTTGTAAGCTTGTAAACAATATAATCAGCTGTCCCTGGAATGACAGCAGTCTGAAGGTGGTTGCAGTTAAAAGCATTAAAATTAAATGTTTTAAGAACTATTCTTCTATTTACTATGGTAAAAGCTAATTTTATGTGGCACTCTATTACACATCTGAACCACGACCAACATAAATGTTTGATCAAACTTAACATCAGCATCCATTTCTTATGGCTGCCAACGAAGTCGGTTTGTTTGTCAACACAGGTCCACTGGCCTGTGCATTTCTAGTTGAAGATAGATAGTTTTGTGGTTCGATGTGAATATAAAACATATTTGGTGCACGTGTTGCATTCGATTGTCACACTCAACTGTTTTTTTTTTTGCTCATTCATTTTCCTTCTACATGGCTGCTGCCTTGCTGGTGGTAGTGGCATTTGTCAGCTTGTTGTTTGTTTTGTCTTTGTTTATGATGACATTTCTATGTGGCAATTTAGCTAGAGGACTATATTGTTGTTGTTCTTGGTTGTCATTGATCATTTTGAGTTGTCACTACAAATGCAAAATGTTTATTATCCCTTGTCTCTGTGGCGATAGGGTTTTGGGCGGCAAATTTCCACTGACCGACCAACCCTCCCTCCTCCGTGATGATGACCATGGAACTGCCGTCGATTTTTGCATCGTCATTAATTAGGCATTTTTTGCCGCCTTAAATGCTGTTTCTTTCACAAATTCGACATGAATGAGTTCTTAAGGGAATAGTTATATGGAAATATCTCCTCTATGAAAGGGGAGCAGTGTTAAGGATTTTAGAAGAGATTTTGTCGCCATGATTTGTCGGAGTGAAATACATACAAATACACAACTTATGTTTATATGCATATAAGGTAAATTCATTTCAAATAAGCATACCCATATCTGCATTTTCAGTAATTTACCTTGTCACATAAACATAAAAAACACGTTTCCATCTCTGATTTGTGTAAATACAACGGTTTTATAAATATAAATTTTGACAAAGAGATGGTGTCAAATGAATAATTTTAAAAAAATTGTAAACATTACCTTCTTAATTCTACCATGGGTAATATCAAGCTTGCTTAATATTAGAGTGTTTAGTACCAGTTATTGAGGCTGAACGAACCGATAAAAACCGTGTAAAGAATAATTTTCGTTAAGGATACGCACGGATCTGGCAAAGGTTTAAATTTCTCTCTAAACCTGAAAAAAAATAATCGCATGACTATCTTACAGAATCAAAAAGGAGATCAGATTAATTAAAAGGACGATTCAAAATGCATCCACCGTGTCCTTAGAGGCAGGAAGCCATCCAAGCGTATGTTTCAGCAACTGGACGAACCAAGAGTAAAGTATACAGGGTGAGATAAAAAAACGCAACAAGGTCAAACGCCATAATTTTAATTTTTTTAATTTTATTGAATGAAAGCAAAATATAGAAAATAGCATCAAATGTTAAAATTAGTATAGATTTGTTCGAATTGGTCACCTTTGGTACGAATTATGGCTTTCAAACGGCCAACGAAACCGTCATACGCTGCCCGAATGTTGCGAAGCGCTTGCTTGAGGTGATCGACACTTTGGTATTTTTTAGTGCCAACTTTGCTTTCCAAAATACCCCAGACACAATAGTCCAACGGATTGGTATCCGGAGATTTTGGTGGCCATTATGCGCTAGAAATGAAACGAGGAACCTCATTTGTATCCACTATTGGGTGGCGCGTGGTAAGTGCGATGGTTCTGAGTCCTGTTGGAATGTCCAAGGTCTGCGGCCAAAATGTTTGCATACCCAAGGCTTTAATACACCCTCCAGAATATTTTCGCCACAATATTCGGCATTTATTCTGATGCCACAGTCGATTAATACGAGCGGAGAGCGAGCATCGGCTGTTATGGGGGTTCACACCATCACCATGGCCGGCGCTTGAGTTCTAGTGGCCAACCGAAGGTGCACATTTTCAGCTGACCTCTTTGGCAAGTAAACACGATCATTTTGTTTGTTTACAAACTGCACGAATGTTTTCTCATCGGAGAAAACAAAATTTGGCGGTTCACCACTTTCGGCCAAGCGAAGCAACTCTTTAGATTTTTGAGCCTATTTTCTTTCTGTGGCGGTGTAAGTTCTTGAATTTTTTTGAAATTTCAATGGCTTTACCCTGAGCTCATTTTTAAATATTTGCCGAAAGGAACATTGAGATATGTTCAGCTCACGAGCCATTTTTCGGGCACTGCGACGCGGGTTTCGATCAAGTCGCTTCTTTACTTTTCAAACCATTTCTGCTGATGTTGCTGTTTTCTTCCGTTCACTTCCTTGACGACTGGCTACGCCACCAGTATCACGGTAACGAGCGATGGTACGAGACATAAAAATTTATTCATATTTAAATGCTGGAGTGCTCTAACGATAGCCACTTGTGGTTTTCCAGCCAAATATAAAGAAATGATTATCACCTTTGAATGCCATCTCGAATAACTTTTTTTCTGGAAAATTCTCAACAAAATGCTTTTGTGCGCTTGTAAACGATATAATGAGCTGTCACTGGAATAATTTTAGGAACTGTCGGACGAGTGGCTTACAGTTTTTTATCTCACCCTGTTTTAATGAAGCTCGAAACTTTTTATTAGCCACTTTAATAGTTC